CCCTGGGGGCCTGCCGGGATTTTCGTGGCGCGCTCACACCACCTGCCGCCCCCACTGCTCCCCCTGTTCTCATGGTTTCCTCCAATCACTTAAGGGGGGGGGGGGGGGGGGTGAAGGGCTTCGTGGTCTCTCTCTCTGTCTCTTCTCTCTTCTTGCTGGGAAACCTTCCGCGACGACGACGACGACTTTGTCTTCTTTGTCGATGAAACGAGGAGGGGGGACGGAGACCGTGCGAGGAGGCCTCTCCAACGCGGTGGCTCTCAAAAAAGTGGTCCTCCACGTGCTATTTTTTTTTTTCTGGGGGGGGGGCGGGGCGGCCGGCCATCCAACGAAGACTGGGCCACCGCACCGTGCTGTTCGGACGCGCCCTTGCGGGGTCGTCTGGAACGTGCTGTCCTTAAGCACGTCGCGTGTCCGCTGGGGTGGTTTTGTAGCCAGGGGAGGAGGGAACGAAACCGGAGAACCGTGGAGGATGACAACAACAACAACAAGAACAACAACAAGAACAACAAGAACAAAAAACCCCGAGCAGAACAATGGGGAAGGAGAAACGTGCAGGCACCGAGGCTGCAGCATCTACACAAAGCTCTTTGTCACGTGTCGCGAAGGGTGCTGCAAGATCCGACCCCCATGCCCAACCAGTGCTTGCCGAGCTACAATTGCCTCCTGGACGCCAATGCAGCTCATTAGCACACAAAGTTTCTTGGCCACAAATGAACCACAGTCATCCTCGGTCATCACAGCAGCAGCAGCGGCTTTTGGCTAAGCCACCGAGCAGAGACGGTGGTCTCCGGATCACCGCGCGCTTTCAGATGCGCTTCCGCGGCCGTCTGGAAGCCACCAGCGCTGTGCACTTTTCAGTCATCTAGATTGAAAACTCGTTTCTTCATGACCGCTTTTTGTGTTTAGTTTGTTGCCCTTACCCCGGCACCTCCGATTGGCGCTGTTACCTAAGTGCTGTACATTGCAAAAAATGAGCCAAACGTATACGCACACTGCCCATAGACGAACACTCGCCATAGACACAACGCTGCACCTCTGATTAGCGCGGTTGGCTGAAGTTCAACGTACAAACATACATGCAAGTGGTCCGTGGGGCTGTGATTCAAATTCAGGTTGATCCAGAAATGATGACGGTGTTCAAAATTCGGAGGTGATATTTACGATATTGAGTGTAAAAATGAAGTGGGGTAAACTACCCCGGATGAAACTACCCTAAATGCGCCCTAACCCCCCCCCCTTCACCGGGGCACCGCCGGTGGCGAGATGTTAACTCCCTCGCCTGGTATGCAGGAGGGTCGTGGGTTCAGTCCCGACCCTGACGCGATGCCTGTTGTTTATTTGGAGTTTGCGGTGTCTCTCTCTCTCATCATCACAGTTGCGAGATGTTAACTCCCTCGCCTGGTAGGCAGGAGGGTCGTGGGTCCGATCCCGACCCTGACGACGCCTGCTGCTGTATATTCGGAGTCTGCGTGTTTTCTCTCTCCGCTCTCTCTCGCCCCGTGGACGCGTGGATTTTTGTCCGTTGTCCTCTGGTGTTTCCCCCTCCACGTTTTAGAATCGACATCGCGCGTTCAGAGTCACCATGCTGCTCCTGTGGACTTCCACGTGACGACGAGAAGCCAACTTCGTTGGGCTATCGTTTGTGGCCAGGTCGTTTTTGAAAAAGAGCTGCGTAGTTTAGCGGTAAGATACAACAACAAAAATGTTTAATTCATAGCTACTGGGTTATAGTTACCGAGTAGGGTGCGGGCGGGGGGGGGGGGGCGGTTATGTTAAGGGGTTAGGTCGGTGGGCGGGGGGGGCAGGAGGGGTGGTGGTCACGTCACACCTCGTGCAAGTGGCCACACGTCCGCTCCACCTCACCCCAAAGCACGTCGGAGAAAGTCTGGTGTCTCCTTTGCATTCGGACGCGTTTAACGAGCCCCTAAGTGAACCACCGTAAAGAATTGACGACTGCCGAATGGACACGGTGGCGCTGTCGTCGGTGGCGGCGGCGATGGCCAATGACGGTCCGTCCCCTCCTGTTATAAACTAAAAAAAAGGTGCTCACAATACTGCGCGGGGGTTGGTTTTTGCCTTTGCTCACGATGGCCAGATTAGTTGTTTCAATTAACCCACTTCATCACGCACTGCTTTGGTGTGTGAGTGTGTGCGTGGGCGAATCGTAGCTCGGAGAGAGATGTTGGTTTGGGGGGGGGGAGGTCGATTTATATAAATTTGTAATTATTTTCGTGACTCGCTCACTCTTTTCTCTATTTTACACTCTTATCGGGGGTTTTTTTCTGTATTTTTTTTGTCCTTGTAACTTGCCGAGCTTCACGCAGCTCATCGGATTCCTCCAGGATTAGCACGGATGGCTTCGCACGGTGTGAAAGAAGTTTGCCGTACAGGTGCACATACGTTACCGTTCCACGTTCCGCTGTAATGTGTTTCAGAAGCGACCTGGCCACACATTATAGCTCAACGGAGTGGCTTATCACATGGAACGAGAAGTGGCTTATCACGTGGAACGATAGGTGGCTTATCACGTGGAACGAAGTGGCTTATCACGTGGAACGAGAAGTGGCTTATCACGTGGAACGAGAAGTGGCTTATCACGTGGAACGAGAAGTGGCTTATCACGTGGAGCGAGAAGTGGCTTATCACGTGGAACGAGAAGTGGCTTATCACGTGGAACGAGAAGTGGCTTATCACGTGGAACGAGAAGTGGCTTATCACGTGGAACGAGAAGTGGCTTATCACGTGGAACGAGAAGTGGCTTATCACGTGGAACGAGAAGTGGCTTATCACGTGGAATGAGAAGTGGCTTATCACGTGGAATGAGAAGTGACTTATCACATGGAACAAAGTGGCTTATCACGTGGAACGAAGTGGCTTATCGTGACGCCTGCTGCTGCTGTGTATTTGGAGTTTGCGGTATCTCCCCGTGGTCGCATGGATTTTTCTCCGGGTCTCCCCTCCACGTTTAGAGTCAACATCCTCGCGTTGCGAGTGCATTTGGCCGCTGCTATAAATGACCACGTGACGGAAAAGCCGCTTCCGTTGAGCGATCGTTTGTGATCGCGGGGTCGCTTCTGAATCGGAGAGACTACATTAATAGGTCGGTTGGGGCCTTGCCTGTTAAAATGAAAAGAGAAAAAAATAAACCGGTTTTATTGGTTTGTAAATTTTAAACCACGACTCCCCACGGCGGCAGTGAAACCCCCCCCCCGTCCCCCTCCTCCCGCATACAAATCGTGGTGCTCGTAAGCCTCGATTCTGCCTTGACAACAAAGCTAACAGGAGAAAGAGTCGCCCGACGAATCTCCACAGGTCCCCGCACGCCCCGCGTCTTCACTCGGGGGGGGAAGGTGCGGCACAGGCAACACTTTTAATTGTAAATCGTTCCCCCCCCCCCCCCCCCCCTACAGCTTAGGACCTGTCGGTGAGGTATCAGGTCACGCGATGTTATCTCCATCGCCTGGTATACAGGAGGTGTCGTGGGTTTGATCCCGACCCTAACGACGCCTCCTGTATATTTGTAGTTTGCGTGTCTCTCTCTCTCTCATCATCACGGTGGCTCGGAGATGTTAACTACCTCGCCGGGTGCGCAGGAGGTGTCGTGGGTTCCGATTCCCGACCCTGACGATGCCCGCTGCTGTATGTTTGGAGTGTGCGGTGTTTCTCTTCCCTCGCCGTGTTCGCGTGGATTTTTCTCCGGTGCCTCCCGCTGTTTTGTCCCTCCACATTTCCAATCGACGTCACGCCTCTACGGAGCATTTTGGCCGCGACAAACATTTTCCACGCGGCGACGGTAAGGCGCCTTGTTGAGCTATCATTTGTGATGGCCAGGTCGCGTCTGATCAAAAGCTCTCCGTAGCTCAGTTGGGGCCTTGCATGGTAAAATGAAGAGTTTTTATTAGTTTTAGTTTTATCCTGGTCAAGACAGGTGATGAGCGTGGGAAAAGGGTGTGGCACGCTCAGGGGGCACGGCTGATGCACGTGCAAGTGTTTCCTCATGGCCAGTGCACCCGGCCTGGTTGGCGTCCCCACCACTTCGTGGCGAATGTTGTTGCTGTTGCTGTTGGTGCATGCGTGGGTGGGAGTCGGGGATTGTGTGAATTCATCCCACGGCAGTGGAACCGACTACTACTGTTTATTTTTCATTTTACTGGGAAAAGCCCACTGAGATATTATATAGCTCTTTATTTCAGAAAGCAAGCTGGCCAAAAATGATAGCTCAACGAAGTGGCTCGTCGTCATGTGGACATTTATAGCAGTTGCCAAATACTCTAAGCGCACGTTGGTTCTAAATGTGGAGAGTAATACCGGAGGACCCGGAGAAAAATCCACGTGACCACGGGGAGAACGTGGAAACTCCAAATATGCAGCAGGCGTCAGGGTCGGGATCGAACCCATAACCTCCTGTATACCAGTCGAGGGAGTTAACATCTAGTAGTGAATGTAGTATCATAGTATCTAGTAGGTTTTGTTCGGCCGGATAGAGGGGGCTAAACGGGCACGGCACGGGCTAGAGAAGAGATGGAGTGATGTGGTACAGGAGGACGGGGAGCTGAGTGAACTTGCCGATGACTGGTACCAGCGGTGTCAAGATCGGCCTCTGTGGCGGAGGCTCGTGAAGGACGCTACTGGGCAGTTGGAGGCAGTCGCCCACCAGCAACAACGGAGGGCGGAGGAGCGACGCTCACAACAACGAGCGGAGTGCCGGGTGACTAAAACGCAGCAAGTTGGCACGGTAGGGAGCACAGGTGGTGCATCAGCCAGTCATCTCAGTCATTTGACCCGTGGCACCTGGGTCTGCCCCGTGACCTCCTGCCGGCGGGCGTTCGAAACATAGCCTGGCACAAGCGCCGTGGTGACCGTATACGCCTGTCGAAATCTTTGTCCGTCCGCGTTGTCCCAGGCGTGCGTACGTTCGTCCCCCCCCCCCCCCCCCGAGTGCGTCGACCCTCGCGTGTCCCCACGCCGTCTCTCCGCTCGTCTCTCCGCGTGCGCAGCTGGTTCTGGTTGAGGCGCCGCACCGCCGAGGCTCCGCCCACACACGGGAAGCCGCCGCTCGGCGTCTCGCTGCTCAAGCCGCTGTGCGACGTCGACCCCAACCTGGAGGACAACCTTGAGACGTTCTTTGAGGTCGACTACCCGGAGGTACGAGCGCCCCCCCCAACCCCCAACCCCGTTCTGCCTCCTGCGAAGCTCGCCCCTCGATTCCACCCCACCTGTCGACCGGGGCTGACCGTCTTTTCTCGCCCGTCACACTGCTCGACGCTGCCGACTCGCTCGCTCGCTCGCTCGCACGCTCAACCGCTCGCTCGCTTACTCCTCACTCGCCCACTCCTCGCTCGCCCACTCACTCGCTCGCTCCTCACTCACCCACTAGTTCAGCCGCTTCTCACTCGCCCACTCACCCACCCACTCCTTGCTCACTCTCCCACTCGCTCGCTCACTCGCCCACCCGCTCGCTCACTCACTTGCCTGTCCACTCGGCCATCCGCTCGCTCGCTCGCTCACTCACTCGCCCACTTACTCAACTTACTCATCGACACAATCACTCGCCCAACCACTCATCCCACCCACTCGCTCACCCACCCACCTACCCAACCAACCCATCCCAACCTTCTCAGCTTCCACGTCGGCCTTCATAGGTGCTGCTCGCTAACAGCACTTGCCCCAACAGTCTGTTGAGGCTAAATGGGTGACCTTTGTCTCTGTGTGCAGTACGAGATTTTGCTCTGCGTTCAAGACTCGGACGACCCAGCCATTGATGTCTGCAAAAAGCTCATCAACAAATACCCCCATGTTGACGCACGGCTCTTCATAGGTACGTGAGTGTGCCCGCATGCCTGTTTGTGTATTGTGCGTGTGGTGTGCGTGTGTGGTGTGTGTGTGGTGTGTGTGTGTGGTGTGTGCGTGTGGTGTGTGTGTGGTGTGTGTGTGGTGTGTGTGTGTGGTGTGTGTGTGGTGTGTGCGTGTGGTGTGTGCGTGTGGTGTGTGCGTGTGGTGTGTGCGTGTGGTGTGTGCGTGTGGTGTGTGTGTGGTGTGTGCGTGTGGTGTGTGCGTGGTGTGTGTGTGGTGTGTGCGTGTGGTGTGTGCGTGTGTGTATGGTGTGCGCGCGGTGGTGTAGCAGTTATTGCACTGCGCTACGAACCTGGCGAGCCGGGTTCAATACCCGCTCACGGCACAACACCGGCGACGATTACCTGAACCGGTCCTGGGCCTCTCCTAGGTTGACTCGGCCTCAAGTGAGCGCCCGGGGCGGTGCGTAGTAAACATCGCCACTGGGGAGACAAAGGCGGCCGGGCGTGGCGCTGGCCACCCGCCCCCTCGTGTGCTGTGCCTTGCCTTCGCGGGTGCTGCTACTCGCTAACAGCACTTGCCCCTACAGTCTGTTACAGGCTATACAGGTTGGGGATCTTTGTCTTTGGAAGCGGCGGTGTAGCAGCGGTTATCGCCACGCTCCGGACCATGTCTATCGTCGTTGGTGGTGGTGGTGGTGTGGTGGTGGTGGTGTGGTGGTGGTGTGGTGGTGGTGTGGTGGTGGTGTAGGGGAGCGATAGTGTAGCGGTTATCGCCACGCTGCGCTACGAACCCGGCGACCCGGGTTCGATTCCCGCTCACGGCGCAACACCACGTGACGATTACCTGAATCGGTCCTGGGCGTCCCCTAGGTCGACTCGGCCTCGAATGAGCGCCCGGTGCGGCGCGTAGTAACCGTCGGCCACCGAGGAGACAACAGCGGCCGGGCGGTGGCACTGGCCACCCGCCAAGGTCGTGGGCCACGGCGCCGGCCTTCACGGGTGCCATGTCGCTGCGAAACAGCGCTTGCCCCCCGACCCGTCTGCTAAAGGGCTATGCCGGGGGACCCCCCACCCCCACCTCTGTCTTTGCACGCTCAGGAGGAAAGAAGGTCGGCATCAACCCCAAGATCAACAACCTGATGCCAGCGTACGAGGCGGCCCGGTACGAGCTCGTGTGGATCTGCGACAGCGGCATCAGAGGTGAGCCCGGCGTTCCGTCGGTCGCCACCGTCGCCAGCGTTGTCGTCATCGGCCATCGACCGCGCTGCCGCGTTGGAGGAGGCATTAGGGGCGGCCGCCTCCGAATGGCCACTAGCGGCACTTGACGAGCCTCCTCACCACCCCCCCACCCCCCCCCCACCACCACGGAGACCGACCTTGACACCGCTGGTACCGGTCATCGGCAAGCTCCACATCCTCCTGTGCCGCGTGAGTTGGGGCCCCCTCTGCAAGACAGAGATCCCCCCGCATAGCCTCGAGGAGACCTTTGGAGCACAGTCTTGTTAGCGAGCACCTATTAAGGCTGGCACTGCACACGAGGGGGTGTGTGACCAACACCACGGCCGGCCGCCTTTGCCTCCCCACTACCGACACTTTTACAGGACCGGTTCAGATCATCGTCACTAGTGCTGGCCATGAGCAGGAATCAAACGCGGGTCGCCAGGTTTGTAGCGCAGCACACTAACCACAGCGCCCATCTCTACCTGCACATACACAACAACATCAGCCGCCATTCGCCACTAAGTGGCGGTGACATCGCCACGGCGCTAGTGCCAGGCTAGGTGTACTCCGAGGCCAAGTGAAGCGTCAAAGGCCCGCTGACAGGAGGTCACACGGGACAGACCCAGGTGCCTTGGGTTGACTGACCGAGATGACTGGTAGATGCACCACCTGTGCCCCCTACTGTGCCAACTTTCTGCGTTTTAACCGGCCCGGCGCCCCGCTCGTTGTTGTGAGCGTCGCTCCTCCGCCCTCTGTTGTTGTTGTTGGCGACCGCCTCCAACAGTCCAGTAGCAGCGTCCTTTACGAGCCTCCTCCACAGGAGCCGACCTTGTGACCCCTGATACCGGTCTTCGGCAAATCAACGCGCAGGCACACACGCACTACAACAACAACAACGGCAATGACAGCCGCCGTTCGCCACTAAGCGGCGGCGGCGTGACCCCCGTCGTGCACAGACGCGCGCACTCGCCCTCTCAAGCGCACGCAGGTGACCCGGACAAACGGCCCCCTTTTTACTGTTGCGTTTATTGCCGAGCCGGATCCGCCGCAAACAAACACAGAGCGGGGGGGGGGACCTTGGTCGCCGCGTTACGACCATCGGCGTTGGCGCTAACCTTTGTCACAAACGCCCCCGCCCCCCCGCCCCACTACGAGCTGCTATAAATATCTCCACGGCTAAATCTTGACCGAAAGCTTTCGTGGCCGCAGGAATTCACATTCTTGGGTTTTTTTTCCGGTAAAGTCACCACGTAGATAGGCTCAAAGAAAATAACAAAAAAAACTAGGACGTTTCGATCGCAACACACAGAGAGAGGGGTCGATGTGATGACACACCGCCTGGTGAAGCTAGCTGTCGTTACTGGCGAAACGTCGTACTCCGATTGTTAATGGCTTTGCTCTCCAAACACACAACCTGTGCGTTGCTGCACTAATGACGAATTTCCACGTTCCTGATGGACGACGATTGCTTGTGTTGCGATCAAAACGTCGTAGCTTTTTGTTAATTTGTTATGTTCTCTTGACTTGACCCGAAAGACCCAGGATTATATCTCCACAGTGCCATCCATAATACCGAGACCGCAATTTTTTTTCCCGCCGGGAGTAAATTTGGCTTGGCCCCGAGTGCCGTTGATGGTCACAGACACGGCCGTGTGTGCGTGCGTGTAGTTCGATTCCCGCTCACGGCCAACACCCAGTGACCAGCATCTGATCCGGTTCTGGGCCTCCCCTAGATCGACTCGGCCTCAAGTGAGCACTTGGTGCGGTGTGTAAACATCGCCACTGGGGGAGACAAAGGCGGCCGGGCGTGGTTGCTGGCCACCCACCCACCTCGTGTGTCCCACAGTGCCGGCCTTCATAGGCGCTGCTCGCTAACAGCGCTTGCCCCAACAGGTCTGTTAAGGCTCCACGGGGGGATCTTAGTCTTTGTGTGTGACCTGGGCCTCCTCTAGGTGGACTCGGCCTCAACTGAGTACCCGGTGTGGCGTGTGGTAAACATCGCGTGTGCCGCAGTGCCGGGCCCTTCCTCCGTGCCGCTGCTCGCTCACGGCACTCGCCCCGGCAGTCTGCCGAGGCTGTGCGGTGTGGTGGGGGGGACCTTCATCTTTGCCCGTGGCTGTGCGGTGTGGTGGGGGGGCCTTCATCTTTGCCCGTGGCTGTGCGGTGTGGTGGGGCGGCCTTCATCTTTGCCCGTGTCGTTTTTGCAGTGGTCGAGAAGTCGCTGCAGCGCATGGCCGCTCTCATGACGGAGCGCGTGGGGCTCGTGCACGGATTGCCCTACGTGGCGGACCGTCGCGGATTCTCCGCCACGCTCGAGCAGGTGACCCACCCCCCCCCTTGCCCCTCCCCCCCCCCCCCCCCCATAGCTCAGTGGGCCATACCTGGTCAAATAAAACCTTGGATTGCGAGCGTAATTCGTTCCGGAAACGCGTTTTGTAATCGAAAACACTCGTACATCAGTTGTGATCACGTGACGCTCGGCAGTACAATGCGTCTATACGTGCTGCTGCTCGTATTGCAAGACCCTCGCTCGTTTATCAAATTAATATTCATTTAACAACTTTTTGCTCGTCTTGCCAAAAACGCTCGCGGACCAAGTCACTCGCAATCCAAGGATTTACTGTGGTTTCATTTTAGTCTCAGGGCAATCTCTATGCGTTCATCTCTACGGACTCGCTAGTCGTAACTGTTTTTTTATTGTACCAGGTAAGGCCCCACTGAGCTGTGTAGCTCTTGTTCAGGAGGCGACATCACAAATGATGACCCCGACGGAAGTGGCTCATCACGTGGACATTCACATAGCAGGAGCCAAATTCTCTAAAGCGCGTGGATGTCGATTGTAAACGTGGAGGGGAAAAACCGGAGGACCCGGAGGAAAATCCACGCGGCCGCGGGCAGAGAGAGAGAGAGAGACACCGCAAACTCCAAATATACAGCAGCAGCAGGCGTCAGGGTCGCGATCGAACCCACGACCTCCTGTATACCAGGCGAGGTAGTTAACATCTCCTAGCCACCGTGATGATGATGATGAGAGAGACACCGCAAATTCCAAATATACAGCAGCAGCAGGCGTCAGGGTCGGGATTGAACCCACGACCTCCTGTGTACCAGGCGAGGTAGTTAACATCTCCTAGCCACTGTGATGATGATGAGAGACACTGCAAACTCCAAATATACATCAGCAGCAGGCGTCAGGGTCGGGATAGAACCCACGACCTCCTGTATACTGGGCGAGGTAGTTAACATCTCCTAGCCACCGTGATGATGATGATGATGAGAGAGACACCGCAAATTCCAAATATACAGCAGCAGGCGTCAGGGTCGGGATTGAACCCACGACCTCCTGTGTACCAGGCGAGGTAGTTAACATCTCCTCGTCACCGTGATGATGATAAAGAGAGAGACACCGCAAACTCCAAATACAGCAGCAGCAGGCGTCAGGGTCGGGATCGAACGCACGACACCTCCTGTATACCGGGCGAGGTAGTTAACATCTCGTCCACCACGGCGCCCCGATTCGTCCTACATCGCTTAGTCCAGTGCTCTTCACAAATTTTCAGAGGGAGGTGGTCCACTTCCGCCGATAAGACATCATCGGTGCGTGAGGGCCGCCACACATTTGCGACCATTGCAGCGTGACGATGACGATGATGATGACGATGATGATGATGATGGGGGGGGGGGGTATTTTCACATTTGTGTACTGCCGGTTGGCGGGGGACGGCACGTCAGTGGGCCGCGCTAAAAAGGCCGCCAGTGGCCGCCAGTGGCCGTGCGGGGGCCTTGCGTTGAAGAACGCCGCTTGAGTCTCTGTGTGCGCGTGTGCGTGTGCGCGCGTTGCTGCCCGCAGGTGTACTTCGGCACGGCACACGCACGCTCCTACGTGGCGGCCCACGCGGTCGGCGTGAAGTGCGTGACGGGGATGTCGTGCCTGCTGCGCCGCGCCGTGCTCGAGCAGGCCGGGGGCCTCGCCGCTTTCTCGCCGTATCTCGCCGAGGACTACTTCATCGCCGACGCCGTCGCCAGGACGTGAGCGGGGTCGTCGCGGTGGGGGGGGGGGGGGGGCGGGGTCGCGGGGTCGTCGCGGAGTCTTCATGAGGTCGCGGGGTCATCACGAGGTCGTCGCCGGGTTGCGAGCGGTTGACGCGGGGTTGCCACGGGTTCTTCACGAGGTCTTCATGGGGTCATAGCGGGGCCAGGGTTACGGTGTCAGGGTTACGGTGTCAGGGTTACGGGGTCAGGGTTACGGGGTCAGGGTTACGGGTCAGGGTTACGGGGTCAGGGTTACGGTGCCAGGGTTACGGTGCCAGGGTTACGGTGCCAGGGTTACGGTGCCAGTGTTACGGGGTCAGGGTTACGGTGCCAGTGTGCAGGTCGTGCCGGGTTTAGTTCCCGGGAAGCGTCGCCGGGTCCGGGGTTATCCTTCCAGCCGGGCCCCTCTTTGCGTCGATGCGGTGTGATGGTTGCGACGATCGCGAGCGTGCGTGTGTGCGAGCGTGCGTGCGTGCGTGCGAGCGCCATGTCATTGTTGCGCTGCGTGACCGTGCCCATTGTGACATCGCGCCAATTCCGCCGCAGGGGCTGGAAGTTTGCCATGGCACACGACGTGGCTCTGCAGAACGCGGGCACTCACTCCATCGCGCTCTTCCAGTCCCGCATGATCCGGTACCCCTCGCCCGCCCCGATCCGGCAACACTCACCCAGCACGGCAGCAACACCCTGGCTCTGACACGCGCCCAGCGTGACGATGGTTCATGCTTGGAGAGAGCGGAGAGACCGGTCGCGGGGACAACCCCCCCCCCCCCCACCCCCCTCGAGTGGTTAGAATTAGATGTTGCGGGGGGGGCGCCAGCGGCGAGGTTCCCCGTGTGACGCTGTTGACATTTGGGGGTGGAGGGACGCCGAATTATTTTTGTGGTTTTTGCACACAAGGTAATAATTTCTATGTTTAAAAAAAATATATTTATACACGTATAGAAAAGAATAATCTGCCCATTTTGGGTGTGTACCGTGCCACCGTAATGACGTTCTGTCGCTCACTGCCTGTCTCGGGAGGTGGCGAGGGTGGCTGGGGGGGGAAGGGGGGGAAGGGGGGGGGGGGGCACGGGTCGTATGACCGTACTTCACCACGCCGGCTCAGTGCGGGTTAGTGAAGCGCGGTTGGCTACGCACGGTGCGAAAGAAGTTCTACGTCCATACACACACAAGGCAAAGACAAGAACCCTCCCGTATCTATGAGCATACTTTGAACCTCATTCGCTACATCATACGTAGAACGACCGTGCTGATCGTAGGTGCGGGCGGGGCGGGGGGGGGGACAACAAAATTTCACCCAAAAAGCAGTTCTAAAGAAATTCGTTTCCAATTCAGATTTAAAAGTTGCACAGATCCAGCCGCTTACCAAAAATCGGAAGGAAGAGCGTTCCAGAGGGCCGCAGAACCGGCGCATCTGAAAGTTGGCGCGACGCGGTGACCACCAAGGACCGGTTCGGATATTGCTCACCGGCGATGTCAGCCGTGTCCTAGGAATCGCACTCGAGGTTGCTGAGGCTCGTGGAACGGTGCGTGAATGTACCGTGGGTATGTTGAACTTCTTTCGCATCGCACGTTAGCAAACCGTGCCAATTGGAGGCGCGAATCACGGCACGCACCACGGCACCGCAGCGCGATGTATTTTTTTCTCTACACATGTATACTTTTTTTTTTACGACTGCCACAGAGCTTAGAGGTGTGATTTATTATGAGAAAAATGCGTTGTGTTTCAGAGACTTGGGGGAGGAGGCAGGCGCTGGGGTTTGGGGTGACATCATTAGGCTCTGGCAAGAGAATGGAATTCCTCGCTTTAATTCAACCTGCCAGGCTTGTAAATAAGGGATGGGCCGTAATTGATGGCAGAGGGCAAGAGGGGACATCCCCCCCCACCCACCCCTGCTCCCCCCCACCCTGCACACATCAGGGTGGTAGGTAGCGTGTCCCTGTGGTATTCCTGCGGAAAGCTGTTGTGTGTCTGCGTTTAAAATTAACTGTGTGACGTAAATCGCCGCGCCCATGGGAAAATGAATATCATCGACGTGCAGACTACACGCGCACACACGCAGGTCATCGGTACGTTACACGCTGTCACGCATGTCATCAACACGCACACACCCCACGCGTGCGTGCGCGTGTGGGGCGTGCCCGTGTGACGGTGAGGGCACTGCGCTGTGAATCCGGCAACCCGGCGACCCGAGTTCGATTCCCGCTCGCGGCCACCAACATCAGTGACGAGCATTTGAACTGGTCCTGGGCTTCCCCTAGGTCGACTCGGCCTCAAATGAGTACCTGGGCACCGCATCGCGCAGCGCTTTCAGGCCGCGCTTCCGCGACCGTCTGGAACGCTCTCTTCCTTCCGATGTTAGGAAGCCCACCGGGGCTGTGCAACTTTTAAATCATCATCTGGATTGACAAACTCATTCGTTTAGAACTGCGTTTTGTGTTTAGTTTGTTGCCCTTCCCCCCCGGCACCTACGATTTAAGCGCGGTCGGCTACGTACGGTGCGAAATAAGTTCAGCGTACATACAGTGGTATGTGTTGTGTGGTAGTGAGTGTAGTATAATAGTGAGTGAATAGTAGCAGGTAGTGTGTAGTAATGAGTAGTATAGGAGTGTAGCAAGTAGTGTCTCATAATTAATGTATAGCCGTGTGTGTAGTAGTGAGTGTGGGGAGCGGTAGTGTAGTGTGGTTAAGGCGCTGCGTTACGAACCCGGCGACCCGAGTTCAATTCCCGCCCACGCCCAACACCGGTGACGATTATCGGAACCGGTCTTGGGCCTCCCCTAGGTCGACTCAGCCTCAAGTGAGTACCTGGTGCGGTGTGTCATAAACATCGCCACTGGGGAGACAAAGGCGGCCGGGCGCGGTGTTGGCCGCCCACCCCTTCGTGTGCCGTTTTCATAGGTGCTCGCTAACAGCACTTGCCCCAACGGTCTGTTAAGGCTACACGGGGGATATTTGTCTTTGTAGTAGTGTGTAGTAGATTGAAAACTCATTTCTTTACAAGTGTTTTTTGAGTTTAGTTTGTTGTCCTTCCCCAGCCCCCCCCCCCCCCCCCCGGCACCTCCAATTAAGTGCAGTCGGTCTCTGTACGACGCGAAAGAAGTTCAACGTCCACGTGGTCATATGGGAGGGTTTTCATTTCCCCCCTTCACCAACCCGGGCTGACCGGCGTGGTGAAGTGTGGTCATTAAACCCCTACCCCGAGACAAACGCCACGCAAACGAGATGGGGGGGGGGAGGAGGGCAGTGAGTGACAAATAAAATAATTACGGCACGGTACACACCCCAGATGGCCAGATTTATATACAGTAAAACCTTGGATTGCGAGGAGCATAATTCGTTCCGGAAACGTGTTTTGTAATCCAAAGCACTCGTATATCAGTTGTGATCACGTGACGCTCGGCAGTACAAAGTGTATACGTACTACTACTCGTATTGCAAGACCCTCGCTCGTTTATCAAATTAATATTTATTTTAAAAATGTGCTCGTCTTGCAAAACACTCGCAGACCAAGTTACTCGCAATCCAAGGTTTTACTGTATAAGTAAACTTTTTTTTTATGGGTTAGATCGCGTTATTTATAAATGTGTCGTAACCCTCCACCACCCGACACGGCCAATCAGTAAAAAAGTGTCACATTAACAAAAGACAAAACAGTGAACTGTTTGTGCCGTGATCTAACCCAACAAAAACGTTTATTATGAATAATATTGGTCGCGAAAGCCTACGTGTTAATATTTAAATATCAAGTATATCTAGTGAACGATAAAAGTTATTACCTTGTGCAAAAAGCCACAACAACGCAAAACTCCCCCCCCCTCTCCCCCCACAGAGGTCAACATTCTCACAAATATATAGTTTTATATATACACAATTCATATACAGTTGTATACAGAAATAAATATATAGTTATTTATATATAACTATACATTAATATATAAACTATATTTATAAAAAAAATATATAAATGAAATAAATAGTAATACACTTATATGCTCATATTTATTTATAACTATACGTAGTTAGATATTTATATATATATACAATATATAACATTTATTTTAAAAAATTATATAACCACATATTCTTGGTTCTTTCGGTAAAGTCACATAGATAGAAAATAACAATTAAAAAAAATGTAACAACGTCTGGTGCGAAAGAAGTTCAACATACATGCGCACATACGTACACTCGGTGTGACACGTGGGTGCGTGCGTGGTCGCGCGCGTGCGTGCGTGCGTCCAGGTGGGCCCGCCTGCGCTTCCACATGCTGCCGCAGACGGTGCTGCTGGAGCCCATGTCCGAGTGCATCTTGGCCGGCATGATCACAGGCGCTGCGGCTAACCTGGCGCTCGGCGCGCCCGTGCCGATCTTCCTGGCGGCGCACGGCCTCGCCTGGATGCTGCTCGACTACTTGCGACTGCGTCTCATCCAGGTGCCTCCCTCCCTCCCTCCCTACCCCCCCACGAATATCCCTCGCGGGCGGCGGGGGCAGCAGGGGTGGCGGCAGCTTGGGCAGCAGCGGCGCGCGTTGCCGGGCGCAACGTCGCGCGTTGCCGGGCGCAACGTCGCGCGTTGCCGGGCGCAACGTCGCGCGTTGCTAAGCAACGTCGCGCGTTTCTTCCGTCGCACCGCACACTCGCTACTGCACGCACCTTAGTAGAACTTTAATCTTGGACTTAAAACTTTCGTGACTGCAGGCATTCATTTTCTTTGGGGTCTTTTGGTAAAGTGACGCAGACAGGTCGCAAGGCAAGCGGTCGTCATCAGCAGCCTGATGACGACCGCTTGCGTTGCGATCGAAACGCCGTAGGTTTTTTTTTTTCCCTATTCGTTATTTGCTTTGAACCTATCTACGTGACCTTGCCGAAAGACCCAAAGAATACGTAAGTAGAACTTGTCTCGCGCACCGTGCGTAGCCACCCCACGCTAATCGGAGGGGGTTGCCGGCATCTCCGCCGCCTCCGTCGGCGCGTTGCGTTGCAGGGCGGGCCGCTGCCCTTCTCCAAGGTGGACTTCACCCTCGCCTGGTTCATCCGCGAGTCCATGACGGTCTTCATCTTCGTGTCGGCGCTCTGCGCGTCCACCATCGGCTGGCGCAACGTGCGCTACCGCATCCGCTGCGGGGGCAAGGCCGAGGAGCTGCCGCCCATGTGACGGCCGGTGGGGTGGGGGGGGGGGGGGGGGGGGGGGGTCTGGGAGGAGGTGGGGGGGGGCCAGGGGGGTCGAGTTCAGGGTCCATCACCTCTTGAGCGGGGACACGTCACAGGATGACGATGATGTTGGTGGTGGCGGTGGTGGTGGTGGCGGTGATGATGCAGTAGAAGATGATCTCGCGACACCCGGAGGAGAGCGGAGGCGTTGACCCGCGGGCTGGGCGCGACGCCTGCCGCTGCTGTTACGCGGACAGGGGACTCTCGCGACGCTTTCCCCACAGTGGGGAGGGGGATTTGGGGGTCGTGAAATGACGAGCGGGCCCTGCGGGGGGGGGGGGGGGGTTGGTGGTCATCGTCGTTCCCCCCGGTCCCCCCCGAACTCCCCCGCGGGAGAGCGTTCACGCGTCGGCGGTTTACCAGGGGGTTCCGCTCGGAGTTTGGCGTGGGTGGGGGAAGATCCCTCCCCCCCCCCGCCCCCCATCATCCCGACCCCTCCTGACCCCCCCACCCCCTCCCACCCGAGTGGTGGGGCCAACGAGCGCGTCGCGAGCAGGGCTTGTGTACGTACGTTGGACTTCTCTCGCGCCGTACGTAGCCAACCGTGCTAATTAGGAGGGGGCTTAACGCAGCCGCCCCCCCCCCCCCCCCCCACCCGCCCGGCGCATCGCAATCCACCGTCCCACCGCTCGCTGTCTTTGTATTTGCGTTCTGGAGAACTGCTCCCGTCTCAAGAAAACGGCGACCAGTGTTCTTTGTTGTTGTTGTTGTTGTTGTCAAGGCTCTCCGCCTTTTTTTTTGTAAAGAAAAAAGAAAATTCTATTTCGCAGCTCTAGGCCGTTTAAGGAGTTGTGAAAAGGGGGCCGATGCCTGAAACGTTAGCCTACGCTACATATATATACACACACACGTGCACGCGTCTCGGTTATAAGGCGTTGTTTATGACGGCATTGTCACGACGTTCTGCTCCGCCGGAGGGGATGGATTTTATTTCCCGCGTGGCCGTGGACTGCGGGAATGTGCCCCCGAGCGTGTCCTGCAGTGCCCTCTCACGCGCCACGTGCAACGTGCGGTCGCCCGGTAAACCCTGACAGGAGAGAGGTGCGTTGGGATGAGCGTCGTTCTGCTGAAAACGAGAGGCAGGTTTTTTTTCTATCTATATTTATATATTTGCAGGTATATTTTTTTTTTTAAAGCGAGTGCTGATTTTTTTTCGCACTTATAAAAAAAACACTGTGACACCCACAGGCGCACAACTGTGAACCGACAACGACGGGGACGCCTCGCCAGCATGACGTACCGCCTTGTTTGCCGCCATCGCTCGGGGGGGGAAAATGCCCCATTCAATTTTGCGGCGATCGGCCGATCGCGAACGGGGCTCTTGGCGAGGCCCGTGGGACTCCTCGTACTGGAACGCCCCGCGGCGAGAATATTTATGGAAGGTTAAAGAGGGTGGTGGCGGCGGCGGCGGCGGCGGAACGAGCTAGCAGCGGCGGGTCGATGAAGATGTCTCGTCTGACGACCCTCTCTCTCAGCTGTCCGCCGCCACGTCCTGCCGCGGTGCCTAACGAACAGCGTGCGCACAATGGAGGTTCGTTAACCCTTGCACTGAAACTTCTTTCACAATCCAGCCGGAGGGGGTCTCATCTTGCGCAGCCCACTAGTGGCGCTTGGGTTGTGTCGCTGGGAACTATGAACTATTTACACTCTTTTTATTTTACCAGGCAAGGGGGGGGGGCCCCCTTGAGCTGCGCGGGCTAAATTTCCACGCGGCTTATCGCGTGCAAATTCATAGCAGTAGCCGCACACTCTAAACAGCACGTTCATTCTGAATGCGGAGGGGGAGGTGGGGGGAAAAAACTGGGGACCCGGAGAAAAATCACGGGGAGAGTGAACGCGCAAACTCCAAATACACAGCAGGCGTCGGGGTCGGGATCGAACCACACGTTCTCCTGTGTGCCAGGCGAGGTAGTTAACATCTCGCCAGTGTGGCAACAAACAATAAAAAAAGTGACAAATTTAGGATCGGTAAAGCATTTCTCGGACACATCGCCGATTTCTATATATTTTTGTTTAATTTATTTCTATTAAGGCCACGACGTTGAGTTTTTCTTACAAGCTGTAGCGTGCCAACATAGCGCCCCCCCCCCCCCCCACCATATTTGTGGCAAGCAAATTATTTTGGCAATCCGCAGCTACGGTTGGCAGCTGCAGAACCACCGCGTGTGTTTGCGGCCCGAAAAATGAAGAAGGTATACATAAAACAGGCAACATATCGGGCAATGACCCCATCATAGCGTGGTAGCCCACCAACGTGATGAATGTACATCTGGCTCGTACCGTGTTATGTTTTTGCAGGGCCAAATAACAATGAACTAAAACCATTAGACTATACGATATATATTTTTTTTATTTCAGCAGTTAAGGCGCACATGAGCTATATATCTGTTTCGTCAGAAGCGCCCTGGCCATCACAAACGATAGTGCGACGAAGTGGCTTATCGCCGTGCGAAAATCGCTAGCAGTGGCCAAATGACCCCCAAACGCGCGATGTCGATTCTGAATGTGGGGGAGTGGAAAAACCCGGAGAAAAATCCACGCGACCGTGGGGAGAGAGAGAGACACCGCAAACTAAAAAGAATAGCAATCGGTTGTTCACGATGTCCCTTCATTTCACTTGTAAGCGAGAACCAAATGTGGCTCTATTCTCCTTCACAGTGGAGAGGTCTGGACAGGTAGCGTGAAGCTTTTAACCCTTCCCTCGTCATCGATTTGTCTCCCGATTTCGCTTCGATGACGTGTGCACGTGTACACGTGGCGCAGTTGGTTGGCCGCCGGCTATCGTAAGGTGCCGGCGGTGGTGTCGCCGCGGTTCTCCGCGGCGAGCGACGGCGTCTTCATAAAAACAACGGCGCCTCCGCTACGCCTCTCTTAAAGTAAAACGAACGCCGAGTCGCTCGCGCGAGTATTTCACAGATTCGGCGGCGCAACGGGGTGACAACCCACCCTGCTGCAACTTGCAGGACGTCTCGGATCGGGAAAGGGTTAATTAGCTTCCACTCCCTCCCTCGCCTGTTTGAGATTCCCACAAAAGTCCCCTTTTCAGCCTGTGCGCGCTCATTGTCGGGTAAAAATTTGTTTAAAAAAAAAAGTGTTTTTTTTTATTTTTCCTTTTTTGCCCGTGGTGTTGTAAATTGAACTCGTGTTTTTTGTGTTTTTTTTTTTAAACGTAAAAAATATATATTGCTTTCAAACTTGAAAAAAAAAATCTACGTTTTGTTCCCAATACGTGTCGGAGAAGAAGAGGAAGACGAAAGACAAGAATACGTCCCCAATTTTATCGACGGTGAAAATTACAACTCCCCGTGCGGGACGACAATCCCTCGTTTATACCACTCTGCACGACTTCAGCGGGTCGCGGTTTTCCAAAGTCCTGCGCAGTGCAATGCGGCAACCCAGCAAATATGTGACGTTGGCATTTGGTGACGAAAACCTAATCGGGGTGGGGGGGGGGCAGCGTTCCACATTTGCCGGAAATAATGTGTACAGGGACAAACGTCGCACATGTCCGACCCGCTGGGGGGCTTGATGTATGTTGAGCTAACGAGCTAACAATGTGTAAAAAGGTCACACACATGTGAACATGCATATATGGAAATTACAAAGATCCCCCGTGTAGCCTTAACAGACTTTTTGGCGCAAGTGCTGCTAGCGAGAAGCAGCACCTATGAAGGCCGGCACGGCATACGAAGGGGTGAGTGGCCAGCACCACGCCCAGTGGCGATGTTTACTACACACTGCACCAGGTACTCATTTTAGGCTGCGTCAACCTATGGGAGGCCCGGGAACGGTTCAGATAATCGTCACCGGTGTTGGCCGTGAACAGGAATCGAACTCGTGTCGCCGGGTTCGTAGCGCAGGGTAGCGTTAACCACTAACCGCTACCCACTCCAAACCCATTCTACGTAAATTTCAGTTGTACCATCGCACAAACACAAACAAACGTTACTGGATATATATTTACAAAGCGTAAACTACGGTGCTTTACACGTGGGGTGGGGGGGGGGGTGGGGTTGGGGGTGGGGCAATGTTTCACCGGTGCTTTAGACATGAAGACTATGCTAACTTTGAAATACTGCACTGGATATGGGCGATTAATTCGTCGGGGCGGATAGGTGGCGGTCGTGCGTGCGTGCGACTGCTTCGCAGCACTCCCTCCGTATTCACGAACTTGGCCGTCCGCGATTTTGGCTGTCCGCGAATCGCATCCGGAACGCTGCACGGCTGCAGCATCTAGAAAGTGATGAGAGCAAAGGTGATGCGAGAGAGAGAGAGAACTTCTCGAAGCTTCAGTATCATCTGCAGACGTTGCGTGTACGATGTTCGTAGGCCAGTATCACCCGCGACAGTTTTGCTATTCAAGAACTCCTCCGGAACCTGTGCCACGCGAATAACGAGGGAGTGCTGTGCTGTATTATGCATTCGTTTGTAAAAAAAAACGGATTTAGCGATTCCATGGTAAGCAATAAGATTTCGATTTTAAGCTTTCGTGACTGCAGGGATTCATATTCTTGGTTCTTTCGGTAAAGTCACCACGTAGAAGGGAAATAATACAATAATGGTAATAAAACAACAAAATTATCACGACGTCTCGATTGCAACACAAGCAATCATCATCAGGTGTGAAAGCCACAGCAAGGAAATTTGAAGAAAGTGGCGTTTTTTTCTTAACGTTAAGAATTCCATTGTTTTATTTGTATTATTTTATTATTTCCCTTCTACGCGGCTTTACCGAAAGAACCAAGAATAACTAATAAGATGTTGAATGCAATGTGTACACCAAAGGGTATGATGCTCGCAACCCAGACACGTCCCACCTAGGGTATGGCGAATCGGGGTGATGGTCCCGGGCCCCGTGCTATGGGGGGCCCCGCACCCAACCTCTATGGACGGCCCTGCTTGGAGCCGAAAGTGAAAACAACCTAGGAATCTGCTTGTGCATTTTGTGTGTGTTTGTTTGTGTGTATGTGTATTTCGTGGGGAGCGGTGGTGTAGCGGTTACCGCTCTGCGCTACAAACCCGGCGACCCGAGTTCAAATCTTCCCTCGCTGTCTCTATTCCTCAATCGATCAGTCCAAGAATTAATAACGCTCCATATTCGGCAACAACGAAAAACATCCGAGATGGACTGGCGCCGAAAATCACGGCTGTTCGGCAGACTTTGCCAGACCAGCACTGGTGCTGCAGATTCCTCGCGGTTCCAATGCTGCTGCGATCCATCTCCTATTTAAAGTATTTAAACGTTTTATTTGATCAGGTAAGCTATGTTGCTCTTTTTCTGAAGCGACTTGGCCACAGATGATAGCCCCAACGGAAGTGGCTCATCACGTGAACATTTACAGCCACAGTCCAATATTCTCTAAACGCGCGGATGTTGATTCTAAACGTGGAGGGAAAAGCCAGAGGACCCGGAGAAAAATTCACGTGACCACGGGGAGAGAGACGACTCCAAATATACAGCAGCAGGCGTCAGGGTCGGGATCGAACCCACGACCTCCTGTATACCAGGCGGAGGTGTTAACATCTCCTAGCCACCGTGATGATAGAGAGACACGCAAACTGCAAATATAGAGCAGGCGTCATCAGGGTCGGGATTGAACCCACGACCTCTTGTATACCAGGCGAGGTAGTTAACATCTCCTAGCCACCGTGGCACCCCACTTGAGCATCCCTTGTTGCCCATGAGAATTGGGCTTCGTAACCAAGTGGTGCATGAGTGGATCGGTGGTGCAGTGGTTGGCAAGACAGAAGTCGTATAAATGAATCTCGGGGAAGATGCTAAAACCCGCAGAGTTGTCTATGAATCTTGTGCCGGTGGTCATTGTGACCGTGTTAAACAAATTCCTTTGCTTTACTGTGTTTGTGATGACTATAATTTTTATACACATTATGCCTGTAATTAAAGCACTTTTGGAGTAATTTGTAAGAATGTGTGTCATTCATTTACACTTTTTTATTCTAGTCTAGCCTAAGATGGCAATATGGTTTAGGAGCAAAATTCCCAAACAGGAGGATTTCTCCACAACTCTGGCTGTCGCCTGATGAGGCTGGTTGTTGTAATTACCGGCGAAACGTATTGTAAATGTTGTGGGTTCCCTCTCCAGCACACAACCGGTGTCCTGAACTAGTAACGAATTGACGCGTTCTGTTTACGTGACAAACCTTACTCATTGGCTGCGGCGGGTTTAACGACGCATTTATATGTACGCGATCTTACCGAAAAAAACCCTCTTTCGTGGCGAATGTCAAGGTCTGCCAGCCGGGACGAGAGGACTTCAGGAGAGAGAGTTGCCGTAGTTTTGCTGTTACTCATCCGTTGAAGGAGCGCAGACTAACAGTGACTTGCCATAGCCTCCACAGGCGAAATGGATGTCATGATTATGAAAAATCCAAATCGACCGTATTTCCTCATTGCGCCATTTGCCACCGTGCCGTGAAAAGAATACGGCCACCGTGGACGATTCTTAAACGGTTCCCTCCACGAGTGGATGTCGGCCCGTTCGACATCCCCCTCCTCGCGAGTTCTGCAGGACGAGCAAAAGAGCGGCTGCGTATCCGGGCAAATCCAAATCTGCCCAGAGATCTACAGAGTCCAGCGAACCGCCGAGTCAGGTCGTGACAAATTGTCCAGCCGATGGGCCCCCTCCCCCACCCCCCGTAAAACATTTTGGTTTTAGCGCCGCTGCAGATAACTAGCGACAGTTTTTTTTTCACGGGCGCCAAAATGGCATTGGTGAGCAAGTCCCCCGATCGCCGATCCCGAAACTGAACTTCTTATTTCCCACCCCCCCCCCCCCCCCCCCAGGTGTAGGGCCCCACTTAGCAACGTAGCTCTTTGTCAGAAGCGACCTGGCTTTCGCGAAACGATAGGGCTCAACGAAGCGGCCTATCGTGTGGGAATACATAGCAGCCAAATGCTCTGAACGCGTGATGTTGATTCTAAACGCCACACAACCACGGAGAGAAACATGCAAACTCCAAATACGGAGGCACCGTCAGAATCGGGACCGAACCCACGGCAGCCTGCACACCAGGCGAGGCTCGAGATAACAACATGTCGCCACCACGGCGCGTGAATGCAATCGAATAGTTTGTAAGCCGTACGATCGAGGAGGAAGAAGATCATGCAATCGTTTTGAGCGATAATTGGTGATCGCGCCGAGTCCGCGGGCGTCTGCCCAGATTCCAACCCAGGATCTCGGCGGGTGGCGGGCAGGAGCTCATGGCTTTGACCTCCGAACCTTCACTGGGCCACCTCGCGCCTGGCAGGGGCAGTGGTACGATTCTAGATTTGAAGCTTTAGTGACTGCAAGGATCCATACTCCTTTGGTTCTATTCGGTAAAGTCACGTAGGTAAAAAAATAAAACAACAAAAATCACGACGTTTCGGCCACAACGCAAGCGGCCTTCATCAGGTGAAGGGATCGGGCTGTCTCGAGGACAGCGCTGGAGTGAAACACAGCCACGCTCAGACCGCGACCTTTAAGCTGCGTGCGAGGAAACAAGGTGCCTTGACAAAGGAATTAGCGTAAAAAAATTAGCATTTGATTGGCCGACTTAGCATAGAGGTGGTGTACATGCGGGTGCACATGCCGGTTGGCGCGGTGGGGGGGGAGTTTACCTATTTTACCAGTGGTAAGAGTCTGCGTCTTCTGTGCTGTGTTATACTGCCTCCTGCCGGCGTGTTTGCCCATCGTTCGCAATGTTGATGGCACTGAAGAAGCGTTTAGCCGGGCGCTGGTGGTAAGTGGGCTGTGGATTGCTCCACCCGCGTTGCTCTCTGCAATCCAGCGCAATGTGGAGGCAGCAGCAGTAGCAGCAGCAGCAGCGAGGGTTTAGTGGATCACCGCACACAGATGTTGCTGTGAAACTCGCATGAGCGTCGAGGAGTTGCCCGTAACCCCGAGCTCTGCCAGGAGAAGGCAGCACGGCAAGATGCGTGGGCTCCACGGGTTCCATCTGTGTGGGATAGAGTGTTTCCCCCTCGCACGCGTGGGTTTTTTTTTGTTGTCTGGGTGCTCCGGTTTCCTCCCACATGTAAATACTCATAACTTGGCCGATAACGCATTGACATATATATAGAGGACTGCAGAGCTTTTGGCAATTTTTGGCACCTGCTAATGTAAACTCTTTTATTTTTACACGGTAAGGCCCAAAGAGCGACGCGGCTGCTCTTTTTCAGAAGCGACCTGGCCACAAATGATCGCTCAACGAAGTGGCCTTATCCGTCGGGTGGAAACGCACAGCAGACAAATTAACTCTAAACGCGTGGTGATGTCGATTCTAAACGTGGAGGAGATAACCGGAGGACCCGGAGAAAAATCCGCGTGACCACGCGGGAGAGAGAGAGAGAGACACCGCAAACTCCAAATATACAGCAGGCATCGTCAAGATCGGGATCGAACCCACGACCTCCTGCATACCAGGCGATAGAGTAAACTTCTCCTCGCCACCATCAGGTAGCTGCTGCTGCTGCCTTCCGGCTTGTCTATGGTAAACATGATTGGTTTTAATGCATTTTGGCTTTCGCTACCGATATGATGGACGCTTGTGTTGCGCCCGAAACGTCGTGATTTATTTTATTTTTCTACCTACTACGTGACTTTACGGAAAGAAACAAAGAGTATGGATTCCTGCAGTCACGTAAAGCTTCAAATCAAGATTATTGGGTTTTTTGTTAGATCGCGTAAACATAAATGTGTATTATAAATGTGTATTATTGTGTTATTTTATTTTATCAATTTATTATTTTATTCTCATTCTACGTGACTTTACCGAAAGAACCAAAGAAGATAAATGTGTCATTAAACCCGCCACCACCCGACAGCCAAATAATAAGGTTATTTCTCTAACGCACCGGTGTGCAGAACTAGTGACGAATTGGCCACGTTTTGTTGATGTGACACAAACCCTTACTGAATTTCGGCGTGTCGGGTGGCGGCGGGGTTAAGGACACATTCATATTTACGTGCTCTAACCCAACGACAAAAAACCCTGTCTATCATGAATAATATTGGTCAAGAAAGACCCCTGCTACCACTACTGCTACGTGTTAATAAATAAAAACTCAACACATCATACCTGTCAACCCATACGGTTTACCCCGTATTATTGTACTGGGAAATTGAGTTTTCAGGTCCATACGCCGTACAGCCGTTTCAATGCGGGCAAATAAAAATTGTCAATTTAATTGTGTTTCTGCCTTGTGATGGGGCTTTGCAGGACGAACGTTGAGATTAATAAGGGGCACGGGGGTGACCAATAAGGTCTAAATTGGTCCGTAATAAGGTAGGACACTGATATAATGGGGTGGACAGCTATGTTATAGTGTAGTGTATAGTGTAGTGTACAATGTAGTGTAGTGTATATTGTAGTGTAGTGTATATTGTAGTGTATAATGCAGTGTAGTGTATAATGTAGTGTAGTGTATATTGTAATGTAGTGTATATTGTAGTGTAGTCTCTAATGTCGTGTAGTGTACAATGTAGTGTAGTGTATAATGTAGTGTAGTGTATATTGTAGTGTAGTGTATATTGTAGTGTAGTGTATAATGTAGTGTATAGTATAATATAGTGTAGTGTATAATCTAGTGTAGTGTACAATGTAGTGTAGTGTACAATGCAGTGTATGGTGTAGTTGTGATTAGGATGAACGTTGTGATTCACAATGGGCAAGGGGGTGACCAATAAGTTCTGCATTGATCCGTGATTATGTAAGGACCACTGATATTAGGGAGTTGACATTTTTTTGCGATGTCTATGCAAAATTCGATGGCGATGAAACTGCGAAGCGACCAATGGGATCGCGACATTTCGCGCCCTTAAAACGCCGCTTCCGCTCTTGCTCAGGCGAAGTTTTTTTTAAATCGAAGAGCAAACGGAGGAACGCCTCGACGCGCCTCGTAAACAATAAAGATGCTGCTGCTGCTGTTGCTTGTGGTGCCGACGATGTTGCTTCTCCCGTGGGGATCTGCGACCGACGTGCAGGAAGGGAACCGGGGCCGCGGTGAGTGCGAGGTGAAAAAAACCACGAAGCCGGGTGGGGGGTGGTGGGGAGGTTGGAGAGCCGAAGCCGGCAGCGCGGCTAGGAAAGCCGTAAGGCTCCGCGAGAAGGCCTACCCGGTCTCGTTTAATTGTATATGTCGCTCGTCAATGGGACCTTTGGTCAAACAAAAAAATAAAGTTGATTGCTTCATTGCGGACTCGTAGATAACAGAGAGAGAGAGAGACGGCCGAACATCAAACATCAAAAAATGGAGCAGATTTTATCTCATTGAATGCTAAAAAAAAATACTTAATGTTAAAGTTACGGCTAAAGGGTTTCTTGCGCCAATGTGTACGTTTTACGGCTCTCAACTCCCCCACGCGTGCGCCTGCAAACACATTTACATTGTCCCACTGATCCCTTTTCCTATTCTTCGATTTTCTGAGGTAATGTCCACGTTTTATTTTGAACCGGGCGTAAGGCCAGCGCAAATGATCGGCTCAAGAAAGTGTGCGCTTTTATCATCATCATCATGATGTGGAAAATGTATAGCAGTTCGTCAAATAACTCTTAAACGCGTGATGTTGATTGTAAATTTGGAGGGGCTTGTGGGGGGGGTGACCCCGGAGAAAACTCCACGCGAACACGGGGAGAGAGACACCTCCTGTGTACCAGGCGAGGTAATCAACATCTCGCAACTGTGATGGTGATGATAGAGAGACACCTCCTGTGTACCAGGCGAGTTAGTCAACATCTCGCAACTGTGATGGTGATGATGATAGAGAGACACCTCCTGTGTACCAAGCGAGGTAGTCAACATCTCGCAACTGTGATTGTGATGATGATAGAGAGACACCTCCTGTGTACCAGGCGAGGTAGTCGACATCTCGCAACTGTGATGGTGATGATAGAGAGACACCTCCTGTGTACCAGGCGAGTTAGTCAACATCTCGCAACTGTGATGGTGATTATGATAGAGAGACACCTCCTGTGTACCAGGCGAGGTAGTCAACATCTCGCAACTGTGATGGTGATGATGATAGAGACACCTCCTGTGTACCAGGCGAGGTAGTCAACATCTCGCAACTGTGATGGTGATGATAGAGAGAAACACCACTCTAAATATACAGCAGCAGCAGCAGGCAGTTGTCGTCAGGGTCGGGATCGAACCCACGACCTCCTGTGTACCAGGCGAGGTAGTTAACATCTAGCAACTATGATGATGATGATAGAGAGACACCTCCTGTGTACCAGGCGAGGTAGTCAACATCTCGCAACTATGATGATTATGATGATAGAGAGACACCTCCTGTGTACCAGGCGAGGTAGTCAACATCTCGCAACTGTGATGATGATGATGAGAGAGACACCACACACTCTAAATATACAACAGCAGCAGGCAGGCGTCGTCAGGGTCAGGATCGAACCCACGACCTCCTGCGTACCAGGCGAGGTAGTTAACATCTCGCAAATATGATGATAGAGAGACACCTCCTGTGTACCAGGCGAGGTAGTCAACATCTCGCAACTGTGATGGTGATGATGAGAGAGAGACACCTCAAACTCCCAATATACAGCAGCAGGCGTCGTCAGGGTCGAGATCGGGAACGAACCCACGACCTCCTGTAATCCAGGCGAGGTAGTCAACATCTCGCAACTGTGATGGTGATGATGAGAGAGAGACACCACACACTCTAAATATACAGCAGCAGCAGGCAGGCGTCGTCAGGGTCGGGATCGAACCCACGACACCTCCTGTGTACCAGGCGAGGTAGTCAACATCTCGCAACTGTGATGGTGATGATGAGAGAAACACCACACACTCTAAATATACAGCAGCAGCAGCAGGCAGGCGTCGTCAGGGTCGGGATCGAACCCACGACCTCCTGCGTACCAGGCGAGGTAGTTAACATCTCGCAACTGTGATGATTATGATGATGATGGAGAGACACCGCAAACGCCAAATATACAGCAGCAGGCGTCGTCAGGGTCGGGATCGAACCCACGACACCTCCTGTATACCAGGCGAGGTAGTCAACATCTCGCAACTGTGATGCGTGCACCCCCTGGTAAAAAAACCACGGCCTCAGAGGCAGCTCTACAGAGAGAGCCCCTCGGGAGAGATCGACAGGCGACGCGTGTTAATGGGAAAGTTGCAGGCGCCACCTCGCTTAACGAGCGAGAAGCGTTCCGCGACAGTGGCGAGTGCCACGGTGGCTAGGAGATGTTAACAACCTCGCCTGGTGTACAGGAGGTCGTGGGTTCGATCCCGAACCTGACGACGCCTGCTGCGGTATATTTGGAGTTTGCGGTGTCTATCTCTCTCATCATCATCACAGTGGCTAGGAGATGTTAACAACTTCGCCTGGTGTACAGGAGGTCGTGGGTTCGATCCCGACCCTGACGCCTGCTGCTGCTGTATATTTGGAGTTTGCTTGTCTCTCTCTCTCTCTCTCATCATCATCACGGTGGCTAGGAGATGTTAACAACCTCGCCTGGTGTACAGGAGGTCGTGGGTTCGATCCCGAACCTGACGACGCCTGCTGCGGTATATTTGGAGTTTGCGGTGTCTGTCTCTCTCATCATCATCACAGTGGCTAGGAGATGTTAACAACCTCGCCTCGTGTACAGGAGGTCGTGGGTTCGATCCAGAACCTGACGACGCCTGCTGCGGTATATTTGGAGTTTGCGGTGTCTATCTCTCTCATCATCATCACAGTGGCTAGGAGATGTTAACAACCTCGCCTGGTGTACAGGAGGTCGTGGGTTCGATCCAGAACCTGACGACGCCTGCTGCGGTATATTTGGAGTTTGCGGTGTCTCTGTCTCTCCCCGTGTTCACGTGGATTTTTCTCCGAGCGCCTATGAAGGCCGACACGGCACACGAGGGGGTGGGTGGCCAGCACCATGCCCGGCCGCCTTTGTCTCCCCAGTGGCGATGTTTACAAACCGCACCAGGTACTCATTTAAGGATAGTAGTGGCGAGTGTAGTGTAGTAGTGAGTGTAGTATAGTCGTGAGTGTGTTGGAGCGAGTAGTGTGTAGTGGCGAGTGTCTAGTAGTAAATGTAGTGTAGTAGTGAGTGTGTAGTGGTGAATGTGTAGTGGCGAGTGTAGTGTAGTAGTGAGTGTAGTGTAGTAGTGAATGTAGTATAGTAGTGAGTGTGTAGGCGCGAGTAGTGTGTAGTGGCGAGTGCCCTTTTGTCCTTTGCCGCACCTCCCGATCACCACGGTTGGCTACGTAGGGCGCTCAAGAAGTTCAACATACGCACAAAGTTGGCAGTTATGATGTGCAAAAGAATGTCAATTGTACACGTGGCTTCTCGATCAACCTGTTTTGACACGACACAGAAAGTGAGTCAGTGTTCTCCAGCAGATCTGTCGGTTCAGAAGGGTTGTGAATCAGCGCCGGGTGAGCCAGACCAAGTGCACCTTTGTAATTCCTTAGGCTCCATTGTTAATGTTTGAGACACGTCCAAGCCAAACGAAAGCCTACCTGTCAACCCATACGGTTTACCCCATATTCATGTGCAGGGAAATTGAGTTTTCAGGTCCATACGTCGTACAGACGTTTCAATACGGGCAATTTTTTTTTGTCTATTTGTTTGTGTTTCTCCCTTGTGATGGCACTTTGTAGCGTGAACGTTTAGATTTATAAGGGCACGGGGTGACCAATTAGGTCTTAATTGGTCTGTAAAAAGGTAGGCACTGATAAGGGGTTGACAGGTAAGCCTCCTTAGGAATCATAGGGCTGAGTTGTTAATAATGCCAGACTGACACCATTGTTTAATGTTTGAGGCTCAGAGGAGCCAAACTAAGGCACCTTTAGGATTCACTGTTAATTAACAAGGTTCAGAGAGCCAGACTAAGGCACCTTTAAGATTCATCGTCAATGTACAAGATAGATTTTGGCCTAAGAAAACCTATTACCGTATACGAATACCTAAATATGCTATTAAATACGTGAAAATTATCTCATCACTTTATCTCTCGTGCATAACGAGTGAACACTTTATTTTATTAATAATGCCTTGACGATCGGAATCACAATAAGCCACCTTAAGGATTCTTAGTATCCTACATTGTCAAACTTTCAATCGGGAAGACCGTGGCACTATTGCGCATCTTAGGATTCAGTTTTTTTTTCGTTTTCTGAGGCTCAAGAGAGGCAGACGAAGGCACCCGTAAGTGTTACCCCCCCCCCCCCCCCCGGCTCACCGGATGGACCCATGTGCTGACGTTGACGCTGATGTTGCTGTCGCCGCAGGATTTGGAGAGCACATTAACTGGCGGCCGTACGATGACGCGCTAAAGGAGGCGAAGGCCAGGTGAAACGCACGAACACACCGAGGGTGTTTCGTATTCACCGTCACGCGTGTTTAGTGCCCAGCGGTACATACATAGCATAGCATGGTTGGGTGCGTGAGAAGTTCAACATAGATGCATACATAGCACGTTTGGCTACGCACGGTGGGAAAGAAGTTCAACATACATGCATACGTAGCACGGTTGGCTACGCACGGTGCGAAAAAAGTTCAACATACATGTAGGCTGTATTTACACTCGCAATGGAACCTGTACTTATATACTCATGCAGCTCAGCACATACATGTAATTGATAAATGAATGATTAGCTATTCATTCATTGATTAGCTATATGAATAGCTAATCAATGAATGAATAGCTATAAGAATAATTTCGTCCTTCCCCTGCACCTCCGTTTAGCATGGTTGGCTACGTACGGTGTGAAAGAAGTTTAACATATACACATACTCAGTCCAATTACTATTTTTTTTATTGGAAAGTCCTGTATTGGGGCTTTTTTATATAAAGAATTTATTTTCAGAGAACTCATTGAGTGTTTATGCATGTGGTGAAGAAACCAGAGCACCCGGAGAAAAGCCACACGTGCTAGGGGGGCAACACACTATCCCATAAGAATGAAACGGATGATATTAGACCACACTTGCTATAACGCCTTCTCCTGGCGAGAGTAGCTGAGCACATACGTACCACACCGAGCATTCATGATTACTTCCACTGGCTAGCAATAAAACAAAGGGTTGATTTAGGAGTTGTGTGCCCTTTTGTGTACAAGTGTCTACACCAATCTGTTCCACTCTGTCTGATGGACACGTGGTGTGTGTGCTAGTACATCCACTCACCCACCCACCCACTCATCCAGTCATCCACCCACTCACTCAGCCACCCACCCACTCACTCAGCCACCCACCCACTCACCCACCCACTTATCCACTCATCCACCCACTCACCCACCCACTCACTCACCCACTCATTCAGTCATCCACCCCCCCACTCAGCCACCCACCCATTCACTCAGCCACCCACACACTCAGCCACCCACCCACTCAGCCACCCACCCACTCACCCACCCACTCACCTACTCAGCGATCTATCGGCGTGGAACTCTTCCGCTGCATTATGTTTGAGACTCTTTACAGACATTTAACCAGTTCAGTAGACCTTTAACCAGTTTAATGGAGCTTATGATGTATGAATAGTGCACACTTGTGATCACCTAGGTGATAAGAGTTGCGCATTTATACATTCATTTACTTCGATACTTAACTGGAAGGATGTTTGCAGCATTCGCGTGATACACCAACCCTCACCTCCACAGTGACGGATTAAAGGCCACGTGCATAGCCACCACCGCCCGGCATATATATCGCTCAAAGAGACACCACCATCCAGAAGTTGAAGGGGACGGGAGAATGATGACGTACGATGTTTCGTATGCAACAGTGTAAAATGCGCCCCCCCCCCACCCCTTCTCTCTGACAGCGGACTGCCCATAATGCTCATCGTGCACAAGTCCTGGTGTGGTGCGTGCAAAGGTAACCCGCACGCTTTGCCATTCACCGACGTTGGGGCGCCTCGGTGGCGAGAGGTTAACTCCGTCGTCTGGTGTGCAGGAGGTCGTGGGTTTGACCCTGACCCCGACCCCGACACCTGCTGTATATTTGGAGTTTGCGTGTTCTCCCCGTGGTCGCGTGGATTTTTCTCCCGGGTCCTCCGGTTTATCCCTCCACGTTTAGAAGCATGCGTTTAGAGTATTTGGCTGCTCTAGATTTCCACGTGATAAGCCACTTAGTTGAGCTGTAATTTGTGATAGACAGGTCGCTTCTGAAAAAGAGCTCAGTCGGGCCTTACATGGTAAAGCAAAACATATTTTTTATATTTGTAGACTCAGGGACGTGAGGAGGAACCACAGACCAGCAACAAGGCAGCCACGCGATGAGCCGGCGCCAACAATTTGCCCAAGTTCTGCATTCCTCTACGTATTTCTCTCTTTGATGGAGAGAGAAAACTGCGCGCTGCAGCAGCTGACATTATTTACGTGCGTGCTGTCTTGATTATTAGTTGCCCCTCCTTAACTCCTCGAAGGTTCAGTGGCTCTGCCCACGTGGCCGTAAAACCTCCGCAAGTAATCCTATTACAGGGACTCCTCTACTTACGAACGAGTTAGGTTCCAGAGGTCTGTTCGCAAGTCGATTTGCTCGTTAATCCAACTTTACTCCCGTCGATTCCAAACATGTTGTACGGCGTGTACACCAAACACGGGGAATGTCTTTAAAGTTGTATCATATCCTGTAGGTGTAGATGCCACTCGTTCACAAACTTTAGTTTCCACACTAAGAGTGCGCCTCTTCTTCTTACCACCCTCAATACCATCACCACTCTTACGCTTCTGAGACACGATGGGGGGGGGGGGGGGGGTTGATGATGTTCGTGAAAGGTACAGAGAGAACGTCGCAGTGAACCGCACAGCGACAACTACGGCAACAGCAGACGACGGCGGGGGCCCAGGCAGAAATGCCGGGAATGCTGGGTAATGACGCCGAACAACCACCGGCATATATTGCGCGGCGGTTGAACTTACGACTCTCGGTCCGAACGGGCAACTGGACGGCTTTGGGTCGTATCTCTGATAGCTCGTAAGTGGAGGAGTCCCCTGTGGCTTGAAGAAGCAGTGAAACCAGATCAGACGTCCTTCGTATTCACCCCCGGTGTTTTGCATAGGGAAACGATCATTTGGGTGTGTATAGCCCAGGGGTCGGCAAAACCACTGCGGCTCTTAGAGCCGCGTGCGGCACCTCAGGGGGACTGCTTCGTGACGTTTATTTATTAAGGACCCACCACCGTCTACGTATTCACCATCACAGTGCATTGCGGCTCTTGAAATATTGACGGGTTTTTTTTTGTGTTACCGAATTCGAAAAAAAAATGGCCCCTCTTGTTATTTTGGTTTCCGACCGCTGGTTTCGCCTCATTTACATATGGTTTGCATTATCCACGTATTTGTTTTAGCCGGGTCTGTTCCCCCCTCTCCCCACCCCTCCCCCAGAGACAGCTAGTGGTGGCCTGTCCTGTATTCCTGCATGCCTGAAAGCTGTTGTGTGTGTTTTTTTTACTGTGCCGAAAGTCACAATGGCAATTAAAAATTAGTACAGTCTATGTACAGACTAAGGTCACGCGCAAGCACAAAGACAAAGATCCCCCGTGTAGCCTTAACAGACTGTAGGGGCAAGTGCTGTTATAGCGAGCACCTATGAAGGCCGACACGGCACACGAGGGGGTGGGTGGCCAGCACCATGCCCGGCCGCCTTTGTCTCCCCAGTGGCGATGTTTACAAACCGCACCAGGTACTCATTTAAGGCTGAGTCGACCTAGGCGAGTCTCAGGACTGGTTCAGATAATCGTCACCAGCGTTGGCCGCGAGCGGGAATCGAACCCGGGTCGCCAGGTTCGTAGCGCAGCGCGCTACCCGCTACACTACGCACACACCCAAGCGTTACGCACGACGCATCAATCTATAGGGGAGCGGTAGTGTAACCGATGGGCTCGCTGCACTACGAACCCGGCGACCTGAGTGTGATTTCCGCTCAAGCCTCTAACACTGGTGACGATTATCTGAAGCATCACCCCTGTGATCCAGCTAATAATGTCGATGATGGTGATTAATACGACGGCGATAATGACGATGCCAATGATGCCGATGGAGATAAATGTCGATGGTGTTTTATGATGATGATAATTATGACGTTGGTGCCGATGATAATTCATGACGATGAAGATAATGGCAATGAATATATTTAATGCTGGAAGTGCCAATTATTTAGAACTGCTTTATGCGTTTAGTTTGTTGTCTTTCCCCCGCACCTCCGATGAGCACGGTTGGCTATGCACGCTACGAATGGAGTTCAACGTACATATCTACAATTCGGTCTGACAACGACAATCTCTTACAATGATTTTGCCAGTATTATTGACGACGATGTCAATCACGACAGCGATGATGACGACGATGCCACCTCTGCTGTGTGCAGCTCTGAAGCCGAAGTTTGCGCTGTCGAAAGAGATCGCCGAGCTGAGCCACAACTTTGTGATGGTGAACGTGGAGGTGAGCGGCGCAGCGGTCGGTGGGTGGCTGGGACCAGCGCTGTGTCAAGGATAACCCTCCGGGATAGATCAAATGAGTACCACTTTGTGAGTGTCGCTCCTCTGCTCCTCCACCGTTGTTGTGGGGTGACTGCGTTCAACCGCCCAGTAGTGCCCCTCACGAGCCTCCTCCACAGAGGCCGATCTTGACACCGACAATAACCACAACAACCGTCATTCGCCACTTAGTGGCGGTTACTTCACCACGGCGCTTATGCCGGGCTATGTGCACTTTAAGGCCACGTGGTATGAGGTCACGGGACAGATCTAGGTGCCATGTGTTGACCGACTGAGATGACTGGCAGATGCACCAGTTGTGCGTTGTAGCAGCCCAGCGCTCCGCTCGTTGTTGTGAGCATCGCTCTTCTGCCCTCCATTGTTGCTGGAGGGCAAAGACAAAGGACAAAGATCCCCCGTATAGCTGAACAAAATGTTAGGGCAAGTGCTGTTAGCGATCAGCACCTATGAAGGCCGGCACGGCACACAACGACTAACAACAACAACAAGAACCACCATTCACCACGAAGTGGCGCTGATGTCTTCGCGGTGCTTGTGCCAGGCTATGTGCACTTTAAGGCCACGTGAAGTGTGGAACACCCGCTGGCAGGAGGTCACGGAACACACCCAGGTGCCATAGGTTGACCGACTGATGACTGGCCAATGCACCACCTGTGCCCCCTACTATGCCAACTTGCTGTGCTCTGGCCGCCCGACGCTCCGCTTGTTGACTGACGCTGCTTCTTTGCTGCCCCAACCCCGCAACCGACCTACCCGTGCGTCGTCCATGCAGGATGAGGACGAGCCGGAGGCACCGGAGTTCAGTCCGGACGGCGGCTACATCCCCCGAATCCTCTTCCTCGGTGAGACGTCGCCCGTCGCCACCCCACTCTTCCCCCAGCCACCCGCACCCACTGCTCGTGTTGAAGCTGACAATGATTGGGTGTCTCGGGAGAAAAAAATAAGTTGATAACCCACAAACACACACACGTGGTTTATGATAGTTTAAGATAGCCTGACTGTGATTATAACAATTCACATTTCATATTTGATAGATGTTATTGTATGTGATAAATGTTATTTTATGTGATAGATGTTATTGTATGTGATAGATATTATTGTATATATTGTTATTCTATTTATTGTATGTGCTCCACCGCAGATGGTCACGGAGTGAATCTTGTATGTTCCATCTTGTTTGCATTCGTTTGTCTCGTTCGTACTACCCGTCTAAACTAACAAACTAGATGTCATTGTAGATGTTGTATGTATATTGTTGTATGTGTTGTGTTATCTTATTGTATGTGCTCCCCCACAGATGGTTAGGGAGTGAATCTCCTGACTTGTCCTGGCTTGTTTGCATTCGCCTTTCTCATTCGTACTATCTGTCTAAACTAACAAACTAATATTTTTTATTATTATTTATCAGATAAGGCCCCACTGAGCTGCTATGTCGCTCTTTTTCAGAAGCGAGCTGGTTATCACATGATAGCGGCAACAAAGTGGCTTATCGTCACGTGGAAATATATCCCGTGTAAAGTAAAAAAAAAATCATTACACGAGTCGAAATTTGTCACGTGTAACTCTCCCAGAGAGCGATGTTGTAGCACCTCCTGCCACGGAGAGAGATACTTTTTTTCATGCCCCGATAAAGCGCGCTCGTCACATTTATCGACCTTTACACGTTCATTGGTTGTTGATTCTCACGGCTGAAAGAAGCTGAATTGAACGAATATCAAGAGGTTAAAGGGACAACGATGACCATCTCAATTTGTAACGCCACAGACGAGCAGGAAAAGGAGCCGTGCCAAACTTTTACACACAAAGTGTTTGCCACAAATAAACCACAATGCCTTGGCTGATCTGATCAAGGAGCATAAACCACCATCACACGAACTCCGATCACCCTCGCAGCAGCGGCTTTTGGCTCGGCCATCGAACAAAGACCGTCACCGCATCGCGCGCTTTCAGATGCGCTTCCGCGGCCTTCTGGAACGCTCTTCCTTCCGATATTAGGAAGCTATCGGAGCTGTGCACTTTAAAATCGTCATCTCGATTGACAAACTCATTTCTTTAGAACTGTTTTTTTGTGGTGAGTTTGTCGTCCTTCCCCGCACATCCAATTAGTGCTGTTGGCTACGTACGGTGCTAAAGAAGTTCAGCGTACAAACTTTCTCGCTATTACAAAACTTTGTATTCTTGGTTCTTTCGGTAAAGTCACGTAGAAGGGAAACTCATAAAATAATAAAAAATATAAAACAATAAAATTCTCACCACAGCAAGAACATTTTCTTGCTGTGGTTTTCACACCTGATGATGATGATGATTGCTTGTGTTGCAGTCGAAACGTCGTGATCATTTTTATTGTTTTATATCTCCCATCACTCTCTGACTTAACCGAAGGAACCAATAATATGAATCCCTGCAGTCACAAAAGCTTTAAATCAAAATGACAAACTTTGTCGCGATTACATTCTTTTTTGGGGGGGGGGGGGGGGAATTTTGCTTGCGGCGAACGCGTTTATCGCTCGACGCGCCACTTTCCGTCAACGCATTCACGCTACTACGAGCGCGTGAAACGAGGACTCGCCGTACAGATACGCTGAGCTTTACCCCTGTTTCGTACGGGAGAGGCAGAGTGGATTATAACCCAGCAGAGGGCGGCACATACCCACCGACGCTGCCGAGGGACGAAATAATGTTTGTTTCAGGCAGTGGTTCTTAACCTCCACCGCAGCCTTGCACCCCTTTGATTCGCAATCGTTGAAAAAGAAGCATGTAAATAAATACATCGGGGCTTGATGGCACAAAGTAGTTGTCGCTTAAGTGCCCGTGCTTAATTTGTATTTTCGATGATTTACCTTCTGAAAAAATCTGGCCATGTCTCGCACACCCCCAGAAAGGGCATCTCGCACCCCCGGGGAGGTGTGTGTGTGTGTGTCCGCAAGGGTTAGGAACCACTGATCTAAGCCAACAGTTGGAATTCGCAAACCGAGCATTTGGCCACATTTAAGCGCAGAAGCACATTTTTTCACGTAACGCACATCCCCATTGCACGTGCGACTGGGCTAGGGGGACCATGACACGACTGCACTTGACGAGCCGGTTCAATCGCAGGCTTACTCCCATCACTCATGAACTATTCCCATCACTCTCTTACGTAAACTGCTGAATCGCATAAACTACTCCCGTCACTCGCTATGAACTGCCAGATCACTCGTAAACAAATTGTTATTTTTAGTTTGTCGGTTTTCCCCCGTACCTCCGATTAGTAACTTTACATGGATGCATGCGAACTACTAACCTATTTATATTTGACCAGGTAAGGCCCACTTACTCGGTAAAATATAAATATGGCCACAAATGATAGCCCAATAAAGTGGCTTAGAGCGTGGAAATTTATATCAGCAGCCAGTTGCTCTAAATGCATGTTGACTCTAAAATGTGGGGGGAAAAACCGTAAGACCAAGAGAAAAACCCATGCGACCATGGAGAGAAATACACGCAAACCCAAAATATACAGCAGCAGGCATCGTCAGGGTCGGAATAGAACCCACGACCTCCTGCATACCGGGCGAGGTAGTTAACATCTCCTAGCCACCGCGACGCCGTCCAAAGCTCCGGGTTCCAAAGCTCCTGCACCGGCCATGTAACGTTCCTGTTCTTCTGTTAATGTACACTGATGTCTACTTTATTGAGGGCAATATTGGGACGTAAAATAAAGATTGGTTGGCAGGTGGGATGGCTGGCCTCGATTATCACCCAGGATTCTCGCACACCGCGTCGCGCGCTTTCAGATGCGCTTTTGCGGCCTTCTGGAACGCTCTTCCGATATTAGGAATCTTCGACTAACGAACGTTCGACTTACGAACTTTTATTGGTACGAACAAACCTGGTCCGTATGTCCAGTTGCCTGTTCGGACTGAGATTCGTAAGTTTAACCAGCACTCAATAGATGACGGTGGTGGCATCTACATATGAAGAACGTGCAGAACCAGCGGCATCTACAGGAGAGTGTACAACTTTTAAAGCCGTTCCCCGTGTGTTCGTGTACATGCCGTTACGACGCGTTTGGAATCGACAGAAATAAAGTTGGACTTACGAACCAATCGACTTTACGGACAAACCTCTGGAACCTAACTCGTTCATAAGTGGAGTGAGTCCCTGTGCATACACACAGCATCCCACGCCTCTTGGCTGCCGTGTGGCCGATCAGGCTGAGCCCGTTTGCGTCTCTGTCTCTCTCTCTGCGTGCGTGCTTTGTCGTGGTGCCGTCACAGACATGGACGGGAAGGTGCATCCGGAGATTATTAACGAGGACGGCAACCCCAAGTACAAGTACTTCTACAGCTCGCCCAGCCAGGGTGAGCGGGCGCTGTGCACCTGGCAGCTGTGAATTCGCCTTGCTGCGCTCCAAACACACACACACACACACTAACCCCTACACATACACACACGTAGATAAAGATCCACCACCCCCCTTATAGCCTTAGCAGACTGGTGTTGGTGGCAGTGAGCGGGAATCGAACTGGGGTCACCGGGTTCGTAGCGGAGGCGCGCTAATCGCCACACTACTGCTCCCACACAATGACAAAGATCCCCCGTATAGTCCGAACAGACTGTTGGGGCAAGTGGTGTTAACAAGTAGCACCTATGAAGGTCGGCACGGCACACGAGAGGGGGTGGGTGACCAGCACCACTACTGGCCGCCTTGGTCTCCCCAATGGCTATGTTTTTACACACCGCACCAGCTACTCATTTGAGGCTGAGTCGACCTAGGGGAGACCCGGGACCGGTTTAGATATTCGTCACTGGTGGTGGCCGTGAGCGGAAAATCGAACTCGGGTCGCCGGGTTTGTCGCGCAGCCGCGCTAATCGTAACACGACTGCTCCGCATATACACAGACAGACACACACACAACAACAACAACCGCCATTCGCCACTAAGTGGCGGTGACGTCACCACGACGCTTGTGCCAGGCTATGTGCACCCTGAGGCCACGTGAAGTGTCGAACGCCCGCTGGCAGGAGGTCACGGGGCAGACCCAGGTGCCACGGGTCGACTGACTGAGATGACTGGCTGATGCACCACCTGTGCCCCCTACTGTGCCAACCTGCTGTGCTTTAGCCACCCGGCGCTCCGCTCGTTGTTCTGAGCGTCGCTCCTCCGCCCTCCGTTGTTGTTGTAGGGCGACTGCCTCCAACTGCCCAGTAGCATCCTTCACGAGCCTCCTCCACAGAGGCCGATCTTGACACCGCTGGTACCAGTCATCGGCAAGTCCACTCAGCTCCACGTCCTCCTGTACCACATCACTCCATCTCTTCTCTAGCCCGTGCCGCGCCCGCTTAGCCCCCTCAATCCGGCCAAACAAAAGCTGTTTCGGCATGCGGTGGCTGGGCATGCGGGCTACATGACCCAGCCATCGCAGCCTTGCCTGCCGGAGGAGCTCACCGATGGGACCCTGCCCAGATCTTTCAAGGATTTGTGAGCTCCTCACACAATCCAGTCTGGTTAAACCCAGGATGGATCGTAGGCAGGCCAGCCTAAATGTTTCTAACCGGCGAAGATGTTCCATTAGGGGGGTCCACGTTTCGCAAGCGTAGAGAAGGGTAGGTAATGACCGTGGCCGAGAAGACCTGAAGCTTAGTGCGGAGCGACAGACCAGGTAGCTTCCACACAGCGTTACGCAACCGATGAAAAGATATTGCCGCTCGACTGATTCGGAGTGAGACCTCTGCTGTTAAACTGGAGCCAGTCATAAGCACACTGCCCAGGTATGGGAAACTCTCCACTCTCTCCACAACTGCCCCATCACCGATTGGGAGTTGTGGGGGTGGAGTGTCTGATGGTACAAAATACCCAGGCAGGTGCTTAGTTTTGGTGGGGCTGATGGTAAGGCCCCACCTCTTAGTGGCACGCTCCAGTCTCAGCAGCAGCGTCTCCAACTCCTCCTCTGACTGAGCAGCTATTACCAAATCATCAGCATACATAACGTGGTTGAGCAATATGGAGCCATCCCTTGACCACACCCGGGCATCGATTAGCCTCCCATTATATCTGTACCATATGGAGATTCCCCCGGTACAGCTATTGAAGGCTTCACGAACTACGTGGTCAAAATAGATGTTAAATAATGTGGGAGCCAGAGGACATCCCTGTCGCACCCCAAGGTGTACAGGGAATGGCTCTGACTCCCGGCCACGTAGTTTTACCCGGGCCCGCTCACCATCATGAAGGTCCTTAATGATCGTGAGCAGAGGGTCAGGTACTTCAAAAGCACGAAGAACGACCCAGAGCCCAGGCCTACTGATGGTATCATAGGCCTTGACCAGGTCAATAAAGCAGAGATGTAGGTCTTGTTGGAATTCCCTACACCTCTGCTGTAGCAGACGGACAGAAAATATGGCATCTGTGCAGGACCGCCCTTTCCTGAAACCGCATTGGGGCTCCGCAAGCCTCTCCTCAGCGTGCCTGGCAAGGCGATGCTGAATAATCCTTGCCAGGACCTTTCCCGGCACACTGAGGAGTGAGATGCCCCTGTAGTTGTTACAGTCTGTGCGGTCCCCCTTCTTAAAGAGGGGGACCACCAGGGCATCCTTCCAATCCTGCGGAACCCGTCCAGTGGTCCAGACTGTTGTTATGATGTCATATAGGGCAGTCTGTGCACAAACGCCACCCTCCCTCAGCATTTCGCTTGGGAGATCATCTCTGCCCGCTGCCTTTCCTGGTCTCAGACTCCGGATCGCCTTCAATACTTCCTCAGCAGATGGCACCTCAGCCAGCCACTCACAGGGGGTGACTTCTTCCAATATTTGAGGCACCGCAGCCTCAGCAGGGTCATCCTCACTTTGTGCCACGATGTTTTCCTGGCTGAGGGATTTTCCCTCCCCCAGGACCTCACAGAAATGCTCAGCAAATCTGTGAACCTGTTCCTGGGGGTCGGAGATTGGATCACCGTTTTTTCCCCTAATGATGGTAATAGGTGTGGCGCTGCAGGTTACTTTTTTGATGGAGTTAAATAGAGATTTGTGATCACGGGCCACTGAGGCAGACTCCATCTCCTCAGCAACCCGCGACCACCACCCATCCTTGCAGCGCCTCACGGCTCTCCGAACCTCCGAGCGAAGGCTGCAGTAAGCCTCCTCATTCTCTGACGTGGGATTCTGTAGCCGATGACAGTGGGCCTGTCGCTTTTTCTCAACCATCCTGAACACCTCCTCTGTCAGCCAGGGTCTCTGGGGAGGTCTGGACCGCGTACCCAAAGCAGCCATTGCAGCTGCATGAGTCACAGTCCTAAACCTCGCCCATGTACCCTCGACATCAGGAGGAGTCGGGGACGATGCCAATCCCAGCCGCAAGCGATGATGAAATTCTCGCTTGCAACTTTCATCAGATAACTGAGACCAGGCCACTTTATGTTGGAATGAGGTCCTGGGTGTACACCCACCACCGGAGTGGAAGAATGGCAGGCGCATCTTACAGATGACTAGTCGATGGTCAGAGGGCAGATCAGCTCCACGGTAGGTCCTGGTGTCAAGGACATGGGCTCGCATTCGCTGGTCCGTCACTATGTAGTCCAGCAGATGTTCTTGCTTGGACCCGGCATGCATCCATGATGTTGTGTGGATGCGCCAATGCCGGAACAGCGTGTTGGTAATTACAAGCCCATGGGCTGCACAAAAATCTAGCAGCCTCCTACCGTTGTTATTGAGCTGATCTGGCCCATGCCCTCCAATCACTCCAGACCAGGTGCCAGTATCATGACCAACTCGGGCATTGAAGTCACCCAACATGATGACTCTATCCCGAGGGGCCACTTTAGCCAGCACCTGTGACAGGAGGTCATAGAAGGCATCTGACTCATCGGCTTTGCCTGCATCCCTCCACGGATGTTCATCTTCGGTGGGGGCATAAGTAACCACGACCACCATTCCTCGCCTCCGGTTGATGGGAAGGCGAGCCCAAAGTAGCCTGGGGCTTACAGCTTCTCACACCTCACCGCCACGCTCCCACGCCCCCTTAATTCTTTTGTTCAAAAGAAGACCCACACCCTGTTGTTTGGCAGTCTGCTGCCCCGAGTAGAGGACTGTCCACCCCTCATGGTGGCAGGAGCCAGAGCCGGTCCACCGGACCTCCTGAATGCCGCATAGATCCAGGCGGTACCGGTCCAGCTCCCGACAGAGGAGTGGCAGCCTCTCCTCTGCAGTGAGCGTTCGAACATTCCACGTGGCCACCCGTAGTGGCTTTTCGTTGTTTCTGGAGTAGCCCTGAGGGTGGGTATTCAATCTCCTGGCTCCGCCAATTGGGGTTTGGCCAGGAGACGTCATAGACGCCTGGCCCCCCGGGGCCTCCGGCACAAGCTTATTAGTTACATATTTCAGTTTAATTCGTGGTTTCGTGGTAATTAATTGAAGGTGGAGGGGTTACCAGCCCCTCGCACCCATCCAGAGCCCCCATTTAGCCCCTGTGGTGGACACATATGCCATGAGGGGAGGAGCCAATCAAACTTGGATCTCCCCCCACAGCACTGTCCTCGACAGAGTTGCCCATCCGGCACCGCGAGGAGGTAGGGGGCTGTTTTACACACACACACACCAACCCATACACCCCACTCTCACACTCGCCCTTACACACACACACACACCAACCCATACACCCCACTCTCACACTCGCCCTTACACACATACACACACACACTAACCCATACACCCCACTCTCACACTCGCCCTTACACACATACACACACACTAACCCATACACCCCACTCTCACACTCGCCCTTACACACATACACACACACACTAACCCATACACCCCACTCTCACACTCGCCCTTACACACATACACACACACACACCAACCCATACACACCACTCTCACACTCGCCCTTACACACATACACACACACACACCAACCCATACACCCCACTCTCACACTCGCCCTTACATACATGCACACACACACACACACCAACCCATACACCCCACTCTCACACTCGCCCTTACACACACACACACTAACCCATACACCCCACTCTCACACTCGCCCTTACACACACACACTAACCCATACACCCCACTCTCACACTCGCCCTTACACACACACACTAACACATACATACCACTCTCACACTCGCCCTTACACACATACACACACACACTAACCCATACACCCCACTCTCACACTCGCCCTTACACACATACACACTAACCCATACACCCCACTCTCACACTCGCCCTTACACACATACACACTAACCCATACACCCCACTCTCACACTCGCCCTTACATACACACACACCAACCCATACACCCCACTCTCACACTCGCCCTTACACACATACACACACACACTAACCCATACACCCCACTCTCACACTCGCCCTTACACATACACACACTAACCCATACACACCACTCCCACACTCGCCCTTACACACATACACACACACACCAACCCATACACCCCACTCTCACACTCGCCCTTACACATACACACACTAACCCATACACACCACTCTCACACTCGCCCTTACACACACACTAACCCATACACCCCACTCTCACACTCACCCTTACACACACACTAACCCATACACCCCACTCTCACACTCGCCCTTACACACATACACACACACACTAACCCACACACCCCATTCTCACACTCGCCCTTACCCCACTCGCCCTCTCACCTCACTCCCTCCCCGCCCCTAGTGCTGGCGTCCATGTCGGAGGCCGAGAAGAAACTCACGGGCGACACGAAGCGGCGCGACGAGCTCTGACACCAACGCTGCGGAGAGGGCCTGAGCCTGCACTCACGCGTACACAAGCGTGCACACGCATAGACAAGCGTGCACACGCGTGCACAAGCGTGCACACGCGTACACGTTCACGTATAAACACGTACACACGCATACGCTTTCACGTATAAACTCATGCACATATGCACACTCGTACACGTACGCATTCACGTATAAACCCATACACACACATACATGTAAACCCATACACGCGCACAAAGACAAATGCAAGGATCCCCCTCCGTATAGCCGTAACAGACTGTTGGGGCAAGCGCTGTTAGCGAACACCTAGGAAGGCCGTAACGGCACACGAGGGGGTGAGTGGCCAGCGCCACGCCGCCGACCGCCTTTGTCTCCCTATTTGGCGATGTTTACACACCGCATCAGGTAATCATTTGAGGCCGAGTTGACCTAAGGGAGGCCCCAGGACTGGTTCAGATAACCGTCACTGGTGTTGGCCGCTAGCGGGAATCGAACTCGGGCCGCCGGGTTCGTAGCGCAGCGCGTTAACCGCTACACTAACGCTCCGACGTACACACACACACACACTAGGCATGTGATGATTCATCCCCCCCCCCCCCCAGAAAGTTCGACGAATCGTCACGATGCAGACTCGAGATCAAATTCCAGATTCTAATTGATGTTTCGCTTTGGTCTCGATTCTCTCACCGTCTTTCCTTTTTATCGTTTGTCCCCTCTCTCTCTCTCGCCCGTCCGTACGCCCACCGCGTGACTTGGGACCTCTCTCGCGGCACATCCCCCGCCGCGGCAGTTTGCTTGGCCGTACTTCACCGAGCCGGTGAACGGAGCTGGGCGCTTCCCCGCCCTCCCGTCCCCCCCAACCACCCCCCCCCCCGGCCGTGAGATTCGCGGCGCGTGAATTCGCACCTCCGATTGGCACGGTTGGCTGCGTACGGCGGTGCGAAGGAAGTTTGGGTCGAACGTACGGGGAGAGCATTTCACCTGTCGCTGGGCCCATTACGCCGTCCAATCATCTGCATGATGCAATTTAAGATCGATCGTGAAGATATTTATTTGCTTAACGGTTTTTTTTAAAATATATATTTACGATCAAAATTAAATAACGTATATATTTAAATGTAAAACTAATGATATATTTTACATGTAAATATATACTTCATCTTAGATTATGTGGGGGTGCAGTGGCGTGCGCACAGTGCTACGATCCCAACTATATAGTTAATTATATACTTATATATCGATATCCTTATATATAAATATATTTACAGAAATAATTATATAAAATACATTTATATATAATTATTTAGGTATAAATATTATATATTTTGTATCCATGAATGGGTTGCATTGTTACTTGCCTAATCACACACGCACACACATGCCCGCGCACGCACACACGTAGACCTATAACAAAGACAAAGGAGCCTGTCATCAGCCATACGGACTGCTGGGGCAAGTGCAGATTAGCGGGCAGCTATTGTTAAGGCTCGGCACATTGGCCAGCCGCACAGCACTTCGCTGCCTATGCCGCTGTTACCGAGGTACTCGGCTACCCATTCATTCAGGGCAGCTTTGGGGAAGTTTCGTGATGGTTCAAAATCATCACCGGCGTTATCCACGTCCGGGAATCAAACCGAAGGCTCTGGGATCGTAACAACGTGCGCCTACCACTGCACCACCGCTCCCCACGTAATCTTAATCTGATATTAAATTTATAGAGCGCCAACACAGGGTGCTTGACAATACGGGGGACTCCTCTACTTACGAACGAGTTCGGTTCCAGAGGTCAGTTGATAAGTCGATTTGTTCGTAACACTACTCCTGCCAATTCTAAACACGTATGGCGTGTACAATAAATACATGGGAATGGCTTTCAAAGTTGTATAATATCCTGTAGATGGCACTGATTCTTCACGTTCTGCAGATGTAGATGCCACTGGTACTTCACGTTCTGCAGATGTAGATGCCACTGGTTCTTCACGTTCTGCAGATGTAGATGCCGCTGGTTCTTCACGTTCTGCAGATGTAGATGCCACTGGTTCTTCACGTTCTGTAGATGTAGACGCCACTGGTTCTTCACGTTCTGTAGATGTAGACGCCACTGGTTCTTAACGTTCTGTAGATGTAGATGCCACTGGTTCTTCACGTTCTGCAGATGTAGATGCCACTGGTTCTTCACGTTCCGAAGATGTAGATGCCACCACCGCCGCCATCTATTGTGCGGCGATTTAACTTACGACTCTCGGTCCGAACGGGCAACAGAACATATGGACAGCTTTGGGTCGTATTTCTGAAATTTCGTAAGTCGAATGTTCGTAAGTTGAGGTGTCCCTGTAGTAAAAAAAATGGCGACAGAATAGAATGATTGAGATGGCAGAGGCGGTGCTCCAAGGTATTCCAGTGACCAGCGCTAGAGGGTTAACTTCGGGGGATGACGAAAGGCTTCGGGGGAGGGACGCGAAGCGTCGGGAGAGGCGGTGGGGTGGGAGGTAAGAGGAAGAGAATGGGCAACAATGGAGAAGAGGCAATTGCGATTTATGAGGCGCCCTTAAGCGAGGAAGGAAATTGGTGAGAAGTAACCGGGGAGAGAGGGACTCGAGACATTTCTGAACGAGAGTGAGAGAGACCAGGTCGAAAACTCGAGAGAGAGACTGGGTTTAACGGCCGGTGGGGTCTTCAGCTGGGATTATAGTCTCCATTCACTGCTCTTTTCTGACCTCCAAGGTCAGGGAACTCCAGAGCTCGGGACGCAATGCAGACAGAATCCCAATCACCCCCAGGGGAGAGCACGTCTGCCTATAACAAAGAGAAAGAGCCCCCCCGTATTGCATTAACAGGCTGGTTGGTGCTGTTGGCGAGCACCTACGAAGGCCGGCACGGCACACAAGGGGGTGGGTGGCCAACGCCACTCCCGGCCGCCTTTGTTTCCCCAGTGGCGATGTTTACACATTGCACCAGGTACCGAGTCGAACTAGGAGAGGCTCAGGACGGGTTCAAATAATCGTCACCGGTGTTGGTGGTCGTGAGCGAGAATCGAACTCGGGTCGCCGGGTTCGTAATTACGGAGCACTAACCACCGTTGCACTACCGCTCCCAACTCGGCTGCCTATATATACACTCGGCTGCCTATATATACACAACACACGTGTTTATACAAATGCACACATCCCCATTACCAACGCCGACACCCATATATGCATCATACCTTAGGCAACCAGAATACAGCCCACAATTTAATGCTGAATGGCGGTGACATCGCTACGGCACCTGCGACCAAAACCATGACGCATGCCAGACGATTTCAAATGCTGCACCCGGTGTGACCGTATGCGAGCACATCAACAGCAACAACCATGTCGACACGGTGTCTGTGCCGGGCTTTTAGGCCGCTTGAAGTGTCGAACGCTCGCTGGCAGGAGGTCACGGGGCCTTACCCGGGTGCCATGGGTTGACTCGCGCATCGCTCTCACACCCACACCTACCGGGTATGCGCGCGCGTATGTAATAAGGTAATGCACCCACAGGCACATGTATACTGTTTGACAATGTGTACACGTACACCCCCTTGTATGCTGCCGCGCGCGTGCACGTTGCAATACATAACATAACCGCCGTTCACCACTAAGTGGCCACGGTGCTTGTGCCAGGCTTGGTGCACTTTGAGGCCCAGTGAAGTGTCGAAGGCCCGCTGGCAGGAGGCCACGGGACAGACCCAGGTGCCGTGGGTTGACCGACTGAGATGGCTGGCTGATGCATCACTTGTACTCCCCCCCCCCCCCCCTATTGTGCCAACTTTGCGTTTTAGCCGTCCGGCGCTCCGCTCGTTGTTGTGAGCGTCGCTCCTGCCCCCACCGCTGTTGCAGGAGGGCGACTGCTTCCAACTCCCCAGCCAGCGCCCTGTGTTGCAATACGCACACGCCTACACACACACATATATAACCACATGGGCGTGTATAGCCGTCCACATGTATACCCCTTCACCACACCACGCAGGGTACACACCGACATGTAAATACACACCAACGTCTCGCGCAAGCATTTGCCTGCATATCGCACGATAGCCCGAGGCTTCACATTCTCCGTCCGCTTTGCCCGGCTGAGAACTAACTGATCGACCTGGCGGGCGGGGGGGGCTGGTGGCCACGTGACTTTGAAGTAGCCACAACCCTCGTCCAGGAGGTGTGTGTACCGGTTGGATTGTGGTGTGCCGGTCGCAGGCAGAGCCGGCCCGGCTTAAAAAATTGGCGTCCGCGGCGCGCGCCGTCCGTGGCGATCGATTCGACGAGCCCCAAAGCTGAGCCGCCGCGCCAAGTTAATAATTGCTCAAACCGCTGTAACGAGTTGACGATGCTGATGATTAAAAGTAAACGAAAATGAAAGCGTTGTGCCTGTTGGCAAAGCACCCACGGGAAAGGGGAGTCGAGGATGTGGAATCCACGTTGTGACGCTGAGACGGTGCGAGCGGGCCACGCTGTGACGGTGCTCACATTCACCGCTGGTGGAAAGGGGTGGCTCTCGAGAACTCTCTCTCGAGAGAGAGTCCCCGTCTCCCCTTCTAGAGGAGGAGATTAAAGCTACCCCTTCACGGCGGGCGGGTTGGACGTCTTGGGCGAGACGCGAAGCACCCACCACACTTTACCCCCCCACGTGCTACCTGCCGATCGAACCACCGCTGGGGTTGCGACCGTGTATTCAGCAGCCATTGGAACTGCACTCCGTTGATTTTAAAACGTAAGCAAAAAAAACTGCAAATGTTATATATTTTGTTTTAACTGGCCGATGCCATCAAGCTCGCCGCACTCGGCACACTGGCACACTTGCACACTGGCACACTCGTGTGGATAAGGCGCGAGAATTCGATTTTTAAAAAAATTAAACGGCCCGTGGCTCACGCGGGAGGGGTTGCTCACGCCCAAGAAACGGCTCGCAAACGATACAGAATTTTTTTTTTATTCGCAGAGCATCTTAGATGCTCGTACTCGAAGGGTAAAATGTGTCGAGCGTGGTTCTCCACCCTCCACCCCCTCCCCTTGTCACGTCCGTCACCGCGCGGGGCCCTCTCGCAGTGACAGCGGTGAGATTGTGGTGAATTAACAAGAAAAAAACGTCACTAACGGTCTGCTTCTCCTATAGCGGCGGCAGTAGTTGCGTTCCTGAAGAACACCGCGTAATGGGGAAATCTGGAAGCATCCAGCAGCATCCCAATGTCCCGTGCGATGCTGCGCCGATGGCAGCCGTACGGGCGCGCTTGTTCCTGCACGCGCTGTGACGTTCGCTCGATCGCCGTTCTCAAATCGCCGTGTT